GCAGATGAGCCCTTTTAAGCAGTAAAAGTTGCTTCTTTTCTTGCAAGCAGTAATCTTTGCTTCTATTCTTATATGCAGTAATTATTGCTTCATCTGTTCTTATAAGCTGCAAGATTAGCATCTTATTCTTACAAGCTGTAGTTCAAGCTAATAGTTGCAGGATGCAGATGTAAAAATGTAGAAAATGCTGCTTCAAGGAAGAGCATACAGGTTTGCATACTCGTTTGCATACTGAAAATTTGAAGAAAATTTGAGTATGCAAAAAACCCTGCTTAAATGTGATTTTTTTCTTATAAGCAGTCTTTTATGCACAAACCCGGTAAGGATTCCGATAAGAAAATCTTGTTCAGATAAGCAGTAAGAATTTACACAATATTTCCGATTAGCATGGAAGATCTGCATACAGTATGTGATTAACATAAAACTCTGAAATAAGACCAAGACTTTTATCAGGTTATAACTATAAAAGTCAAATGAGCATGAGACACAGGAAGTGTGCAGTGTAAACAGATCCATTTCACTAAATTAGCGATTTATTAAGTGTCTGGTAAAACTATTTTCTTTGTTACAACATGAAATACATTTAATACATTTGCTATGATGTCGTCTTCTTAATTCATTGTTTTCTGGTTATCACTGCATGTATTGAACATAAATTCTTCCACCCTTCCCCCATATTTACTGCTCCATTTCTTTATTTAATGATTTTCGTAGGTATGTACCTGGTATAAAGACTCCCCACATTTGTTTAGCGACTGTTCTGTGCTGATACAAGTATATGAACTTAAAGGTTCCCGTTTCTATGTACATTAGTCAAATATTCATGTACATACTACATACGACACAGGTAGAATCAACTAAATACATTAGTTAAATATTCATGTACATACTACTTACTACATACTACACAGGTAGAATCAACTAAATACATTAGTCAAATATTCATGTACATACTACATACTACACAGGTAGAATCAACTATATACATTAGTAAAATATTCATGTACACACTACATACTACACAGGTAGAATCAACTAAATACATTAGTCAAATATTCATGTACATGCTGCTATATACTACATAGGTAGAATCAACTATATAAATTAGTCAAATATTCATGTACACACTACATACTACACAGGTAGAATCAACTATATACATTAGTCAAATAATCATGCACACACTACATACTACACAGGTAGAATCAACTGAATACATAAGTCAAATATTCTTGTACATACTACATACTACACAGGTAGAATCAACTATATACATTAGTCAAATATTCATGTACATACTACATACTACACAGGTAGAATCAACTATATACATTAGTCAAATATTCATGTACACACTACATACTACACAGGTAGAATCAACTAAATACATTAGTCAAATATTTATGTACATACTACATACTACACAGGTAGAATCAACTACATACATTAGTCAAATAATCATGTACACACTACATACTACACAGGTAGAATCAACTAAAATTTTGATGGACATAAAAACTGTACGATGTTAATCATCCAATTTCTTTAAAAAATTCAGTCTGTTTTCTACAATACAACAATTCACCATTTTCTTACTTAAACAATGTACCGATTTGGAATGAACTGTACAGTGTACAGTGTACAGTGTACAGTGTACAGTGTACAGTGTACACAAAATAAACATTACACAAACACATAACATTAATGGTAATTGGAATTACAGATGTGAAAGGATTATCCCAAAAAGGATAAAACTTATGTGTCGACCTTTTAAACCCTTTAAATATGAAGAACCGCATGTTGTTGTTGTTGGTTATAAAAAATAAGTCTTATAATTGTGTTCATATTGATTTGGCGAAGTAAGAGATCTCAGTACAACTCCAAAGCACAGCATAATGCATGAGGAGAGAAATAATAAATGAAGCTTGTTATAAAAGTTTGATCCTGTGTGTAAATAAATTAAATAAATAAAAATAAATAGAATAAAATTAATAAAAAATATTCGACTAAATGCCTAAATATTGGAAGCTTGTGACCGGCTTGAATTGAAGCCAATCCAGGTCAAATGTATCCACATCCAGGCCCTAGGAACATTTAAAGTGTCAACTATGAAGTGACCCTCTTTGTCCGAAACACAACAGCACCGTTCTTCGACAAGTTCTTCCGTAACAAGTGTCAATTTAGTTTTTGTGTCTGAAAAAATTATTAAAAATAGTGATTATTTTAGAAGAAAGTGCTTTTCTTACAGTGAAACAAATGCAATTTTTGACACAATTTTTTGTACATTTCTCTGTTGCCACCTGTTGTACTTGATTGTCTATTTGGTGGAAATTGTCTTTTTTAGATTCAGTTCTTTACAAAACTTCCAAATAATTGCGAGAATTTATAACAAGGTATATATATATACCTTATTATTCATACGATAGAAGACTAACGAGTGCCGTTGTGAATCAGACATTCTACGCTTTTTAAAATAAAGGTAACTTGATAGAATTAGGAGAAGAATACAAATATTGCTTCATAAGAAAAGAAAAAATTCGAGAAAAGGAAGTATAAAAATTCAATCTAGGAGTTTCTAGCTTATTTAATTCAATTCAATTCAATTCATAAGGTTTAGGGATTGCTTATATCAATCCTCGTGGTGTTATTAATGATGGTCTAATCCAAAATGTCTCAAGTATGAATTGATAATGATCTATTCAAGGGTTTCCTAAAAGTCTATTAACATTCTGAAAAAATAATAATCGGTGTTAAAAATGTAAAAACCTGAAGCTGTTTAGCCTTATTCTTCTCCACCATGGTAACACAACCAATATCACAAATAGCTCTAAAATTCAAAATAAAATACTATAATAAAAATAGCCAAAAACATTAAAATAAAATGTTAAAATAATAATAACAATTAAGGGAAATTTACACGAGCTAAAAAGTTGTGCAGGACAATCCGCATCATTATGTGTTTTATATATAAATAAAAAATATTTTAAAAAGACCTTTAACCTGAATTCTAAAGGTAGGTTGAGTTCATAGATCCCCTCTATATCTGGCTTGTATAGATCAGACATCAGCTTGGATCGATGAGCTCTAAAATTAGATTTAATAATAATAACATTATGTTTGGTCTGCAATGCATTCTTTCAACACAAAATAAGAAGAGTGTTAAGTATTATCAGTAGAAAATTAAAGAAGATGCAATTTAGTCTAAAAAATTACAGATAAAAAAAGACTGGCCATAGCTTTATTCCGGTTTTGTTGTCTGAGCTACACATTTCAGTTATTACACTGTTAAAAATCAAGCAGTGCATTCTCCGAACGAAAATTATGAATAATTATGAGAAAAAAACGCGCCCCCCCCCTGGCTGTACCTAAATATCTGTTCCGGCACCCTGTATTCGTAAAGGTTGTATACAGGGTGACTCCTAGGAAGTGTTTTCTGACATCTCCTCCACATATCTGCAGTTCCTGAACCCTCCTTCACAGTCTTCTGGTTCAAGTAGAAGATCCTGAACAGTGCCATATTTTACTAGGATAGTCAGGACACAAAAAAGAGTGATTAACATACATAAATCACAGCTGTAGATATTAGGATTATCATCTTAAATAATGTGTTTTTAAGGGTCCCGGGACCAAACTAATAAATTTTAGCTAGGTCGCTGATCAAAAGTTAAAGATTCAAAAGGATTTGAATCGATGATACATGATTTGAACCGGTAATGGATAGTTCAGTGACCTCTAAAAATTTATTAGGATTCTGATCAGTCGGCGTAAATCTAAGAATCTAAAAACTAAAATAAGTAATGCAACATGGTACATGATCGAGGCATATGAAAAACTTCCAAACAAAGATTCTTCCTGATTTATTTCTTATTCAATCAATCACAAAATAGTTTTATCAACATACAAAATTAACTTTCCGAAAAGAAAAATGTAAGTTAATCCAGTTGGGCCAATAAAACTGTGAAGTATAAGGACAATATTTAAGTAATATTTTGTTTATTATATTTTACCATAATGCAAATAATTGTTCAAGTACAATGCGGCGTCTTAGGCGTCCTTAAATACACAGAATAACAATTTTTTTAATGAAGATATTGTCAATTTTTTTACCCTTTGAAGTCATTTTTGCATGGCAATTTTTAATTTTAAAGAAATAAAATTTCTGCTAAAAGTTGTCAAGATTGACAATACTAAAAGTTGACAATATTGAGATTTCAAAAAAATATAAAAATCGACTATCTTTACTATCCACCCTACCTGGGCACATTTAGTTTAATACAATGTAGGTCGGCTCCAACCAAAGCCCAGATCTTGAACATACCAGGGGTAGCTGTCTCAGCTATCTGGATTATCTAAAATAAAATTAAAAACTTTAATAATTTAGCTTTTGGGACTTTCAAATCAAATCGAATCAAATGACATGGGGTAGGGATGACAATAGGCTCCAGTAGTGAATTTGAGGTTCAAGTCCATTCGACGTCAGGGTTTCTCAGTCCGGACTTCTTTTTAATGTAAACGTTGTATTAACCCTTGATTTTGTAAACTGTAAAGTTCCTAGCCACAAGACCAAAATTCAGCCATGCCTCGCCTGAGAATTACCGTCATTCCAGGTTTGCCTGACGTTCAGGCAAAACTCAAATGAAGGAAACCTCTCTAGCAAAATTTTTATTTTTAAAGGACTGTACAGCGTACATTTAATTTGTACAGTGTACATGTAATTTGTACAGTGTACATGTAATTTGTACAGTGTACATGTAATTTGTACAGTGTACATTTAATTTGTACAGTGTACATGTATTTTCAAGTACCTCTCAATTTAAAGAGGCCATGCTCTGCCCTTAAAAAAGCTTTGTCTGATTTTTTTATCAATTTTTATCAATTTTTTTCTTTTTTATGTATTTATTTATTTATTTTTTTTTTAATCCATTTTTTTATCAATTTTTTATCAATTTTTTTCTTTTTTAAAACTAATTATCTTTTAATATGGTTTGTCTTCAAGATAAACAATGGAGGAATTGTCAGAGTTAAATTCTTCTTAAGCTTAAACGGCGTTTTCTTACACATTACTGCTCATTAAAAGGTTTCAAGGGTACCGTTGTGATTCAGGCAGTCCCTTATGCAGTTTATCAGTTCATCTTTTAAGGACTCAAGCGAATACAATTTGTTAAATGGAGTTTACATAAACTATCTCAGGGTTAAACTTTACAAAGAACATCCCATGTTACTAAACAAAGAATTTGTGACGGATCTAAAAAGTGATGTTTCTCTGTCCAACATAAAGTTTTTTTTATTTCAGCTACAGTTGATCTTTTTTCAGGACATATGCATTCGTAGGATTAGTCTCAATTAATAAATACGCTAGGATAGGTTTATCATTCATGAACGTCCAATGTTAAAGACGTAACCATTCCAAAAAGGAACTTAGTTTTTGCGACACTCTCTGATTTTCAAATCCTCAAATCTTTTTAACCGGATGTTGTAAACCTTAGATATTTCTGTTAGAATTCTGTGTTTAAAAACTGCTAGTTCAAATAATCTAAGTTTAAAATATCAAGGGTTTACACCATCAGGTTGCAAAGATCTAGGGATTTTAAAAAGTCAATTTCTGTTCATCTTGACTGTTGGCCGTTGGGGTAAGGGAATCCATATGGTTTCAACATAATATAAGAGAATTTAAAGTATGCATGGATAAATGGCCTTTCTTGGTAACTAGAGCTCTAATAACATAAAACAAAAAGTTATAACTACCTACCTGCCAAGGAGTATCTAGAAGGGTTCTCTGAGCTTTCTTAAGAAATCCACCAATAGTTACGGGACCAGACCTAACAACTCCACGACCTTCTGGACCAGATCTACTCCTAGTAAACAATAATTACATCTTCTTCTCATAGTCCTCAAGTCATCTTCTTCTCATATTAAGGGACTTCATACGTAATTTCAAGTAAACCTCTATTAACAAGTTCAATTTTCGACCATATAGATAAGGATATCATTCATCCTTGTTCAGAGAAAGGTACGGTTGTGAATCGGATATTGAAATTACGTATACAATCCCTTACAACTCAGCCAGCATTTTGTGAACAGTCCTTTTACCTTTTATTCCCTTGTTCCTGAGCTCTGCGCTGTTTAGCCTGAAACTGCCATTTCTTCTTTTGGAACTTTATCCAATCCTGAATTCAAATGATGTTAATATTTTTTCATCATTTAGTTGGAACTGGGGAGGGGGGGGGGTCAAATTATGAAGATTTGGGAGAAAACAATAAAAACTTAAATTGGACCTTATTTTCCCCAAAAAATCTTTAACATAATAAAAAAAACTTATTTAATAAACTACCATTTCTTTTTTTGGAACTTTATCCAGTGCTGAATTCAATTGATGTTAATAATTTCTATTTATTTCATCTGGGATGGGATGGGGGAGGGGATGAAATATGAAGATTTGGGAAAACAATCAAAACTATAGGCTTAAAATCTTAATTTTTCTCCAAAACTGTATTTTTTTATCTTCTGCCTTTTCTTTTTTTACTTTATCTAGTCCTAAATTCAATTGATGTTAATAACTTTTATTTATTTCATCTGGGATGAGGATGGGATGGGGGAGGAGATGAAATATGAAGATCCGGGAAAAACAATCAAAACTAGGCTTAAAATCTTAATTTTTCTCCAAAACTATATTTTTTTTATCAACTGCCATTTCTTTCTTTTTTAACTTTATCTAGTCCTAAATTCACATGATTTTAATAATTTTTATTTCTTTCATTAACACTTGGTTTTAAGGCGGTGATTTGTAAAGATTCGGACGAAAAAATCACAAATAGTTGTTAAATTAGAAATCTGTGTAAGTTTTTTTCTCCCAAAAATACTTTTTTTCCCAAAAACTCTTTTAATTTATTAAAAAATGTTATCCTATAATAATTTATAGAATTTTTCACAATAAACTTTTCATGATATCCCCCCACCCCCCCAAAAAAAACATTTAAACTTTTTAAATAAAACTTTGATGATTTAAAAACGATCATGCTTGAAATATCTAAACATACCTTGAGTCCATCAGATCGTTTAGGAGGGTTGCCCAGGACTTCTCTCCAGTTTTTCAGAAGGTCTTCATCCTCAACACCAGCCTTACGCTTCTTCGTGCTAATCATATTAACATAAATTCATTTAATATATTACACAAATATAAACAAATATAAACATTACGGGGTGGGTTTCTAGTGGCATTAGACGCGTCATGATGAACATTAATAATGAATGAATGATTGCGCGAAAAAATATTATGAAATCCGTAAATTTAAAAAAAAATGTTACAAAGAGAAGATGCTCACAGATAAACCAACAATTAAAAGATGAAAAAGATGAGCGCGAATACCCCTAAAAGCCTAGTATATATGTAAAGCTGGAATCTCTGATTGTCTGTCTGTTAGTCTGTCCGATAATAACTCAGGAACCCTTGGACCGATTTGTATAAAATTTTGATTGGGAAACTTGGGAGACCCACGGGAATGTTCTTAGCTTGGGTTTGAGATTGTAAAATGAGTGGGTCCAATTATGAATCCCCTCGGCAACGCTGGGTTCCCAACCTAGTTTATAAATACTACACCACAACAATATAAAGCATAATGACATCTATACACAACTTGAACATTGAGGAGGTGGGTTCTGGTGTCTCAAGTGCCATCAGAGGCGTCACGATGAATAAATAACATACAACATTAATTTTCAAACAAGAGTAAAATAAATTGCATATTAATGCAACAACATTTAAGACATTATTATTATTATTATTAAAGGACAACCCATCATTCAATGAAATAGGGGTCGGCGCTCCTAGCCGCCGAAACGTATCCATGGGCTAACCGAACTGGTCACCCTTGGGAGAAGACTTATACTAGGCGATCCGCCCAAGACAGGTCCATTACTGGAGACTCTCTAAAAACCAGGCGATCCGCCCAAGACAGCTCCATTTCTGGACTCTCTAAAAACCAGGCGGTCTGCCCAAGACAGCTCCATTTCTGGACTCTCTAAAAACCAGGCGGTCTGCCCAAGACACCTCCATTTCTGGAGACTCTCTAAAAACCAGGCGGTCTGCCCAAGACAGCTCCATTTCTGGAGACTCTCTAAAAACCAGGAGGTCTGCCCAAGACAGCTCCATTTCTGGAGACTCTCTAAAAATGTATGTGTCCCCTGTCCTATCAAACTAGAGTTGGGAATTTTAAAAATGAAAGATAGGTAGTTAGACTAGTTCAACTGATTTAACCATTTTCATTTACCTTCCCTATCAATTAAACCAGTGTATGAGAAGTGTAAATAAGAAGTCAAATATCATATTGGATTATCTCAAATCTACGCAAATGTATAGAATACTCAACAAAAAAACTTGAATTTTCTGCATGCGACTTTTACACAAGTCTGACTTATTTCTTTTAGTATTAAATCTTAGTAAATATTCTGTTAGAGGGATTGTAAGCGTAATTTAAGTAACCCTTCAATTCCATGAAAAGATGGCAATGCCCGATTTACAATGGTACCCTTGAAAGCTTTGTCTGATTAAGTATGAATTAGATATCCATGATTTCGTTTCTGTAAACTGTTCTTGCGGTTTCTCTGCAAAAGTGACCTACGCATTTCATTCTTAATAAGAAGCATGCAATGGAGAAATTATCAGAATCGTACAGTTTTTGAGTCAGGAAAACGACGTTATCTTCCACATTTATGATAGGATTAAGGTTTCAAGTGTACTGTTGTATATCGGACATTGCCATCTTTGCAAGGAAAGTCCCTGGAAATTACTTTACAACCCCTTCAAGTCCCAAAAATCCCAACTTAGAGCTACGCAGCATGCAGTATCCAGTATGATGTGGGACACCCTGTACCGTATTTATAAATTTGTAATATAAACCCCTATTTCGTTTCTTTCTTTGTAACTCTCAAATATAAGCTATTTTTTGTACTCGACCCTAGTTGCCGTCAACTTATTTCCTGGTATATCTAAATATAGACAGTTCAACACAGACTCTTGTTATTTACGAACATTATAAACTTATAGAGGTAGAGAGGATAGATTTTGGGTTGTATTTACAGTAGAGAATAAAGCTGATAGAGTAAAGTACGGAGTGAGGCATTTCAGTACAAATTGATATTCCGTCAAATATTACCTAACAGCGGCATGCATGGGTAAAAGAGGTTTCCGTCCAACGGAATCTTCAATATCAGCAATCTCAGCTGGATCCTGGTTCTCCTGTAATAGAGGACACATTCAATGCTTTTCAATGCTTTTGAACGATTTTCAATGCTTTCATTCGCTTTCCAATTCTTTTCAATACTTTTCAATGATTTTAATGCTTTTCAATTCTGGTAGTGGACAGAAGTCAATCCTAGTCAATGCTAGACAATGATAGTCAATGATAGTCAATGATAGTCAATGCTAGTCAATGCTAGTCAATGCTAGTCAATCCTAGTCAATGCTAGTCAATGCTAGTCAATGCTAGTCAATGCTAGTCAATGATAGTCAATGATAGTCAATGATAGTCAATGATAGTCAATGATAGTCAATGATAGTCAATGCTAGTCAATGCTAGTCAATGCTAGTCAATGCTAGTCAATGCTAGTCAATGCTAGTCATAGGTCCCCTGGTGAACATCTCACTGATCTTCCTCTGCTTTAACACATCGTTCTTCTCCATGATCTTCTTGTGCAACCAGTCCGGGTGCTTCACGCGGGGGACGGGGTTAGCGATTCCCTAGATATAACAATACGGTTCAAGGTGACAATTAAGGGAGAAATAATCTTTATGCTGTAGATCCGTTTAATACTTTTTAGTTCTACCCCATCAGTTTATTTTATTCTCCTCTAGAAATAGATTTTTCTCCCAAAAAAAATATTTATTTTCCACAATATAAGTAAATAATTTTTTGGCATTACAAGAACACTACAGATCTTAAAACTGGTCACTTAAATTTCAATTTAATCGGGACACCCTGTACCTGTAGAGCTGTAGGAATAGTTTAAATTTCAATTTAATCGGTACACCCTGTACCTGTAGAACTGTAGGAATAGTTAAAATTTCAGTTTAATCGGTACACCCTGTACCTATAGAGCTGCTGGAATAGTTTTAATTTCAATTTAATCGGGACACCCTGTACCTGTAGAGCTACTGGAATAGTTATAATTTCAATTTAATCGGTACACCCTGTACCTGTAGAGCTGCTGGAATAGTTATAATCTTCATAATGGTTCCGCTTAATCTCTCAATATAATAATCCCAGTCCAATACGGTTCTACACCAACCAATTATTCTTTTAAACTTCAATGGTTTTAGTAGTTCATGGAAGTTGTTATGAGATGTTAAAAATTCTTTAAATTTGTTAAAACTGATCAAATTTGTTCAAAATCCTTAAAAATCTTTAAATTCCATAAAGAGTGTCGACTGTCGGCACCCAAAAAATGAAAGCGTCGATAAAAGTCTTCTAAAATTCAAAACTATCAAAATAATAATTTCACAGATCTTCCACTTGTTATGCTTCAACAATCGTTTGCTAAATAATTAGTCGTTTGTTTTAACTGTTTTTAAAGAATAAAAGTAGTTTCCTAATATCGAAATCAAACATACTGTTGTCCTTCAACCATCTGCGCAGATAGTGCTGACGGATTGAGGGCTCAGCCTAAACAATTCAAATAAATTAAAAATTCAATATCATATTATATTTAGATTGTCTCTTATTTGATGCTTTGTTTGTTTGTCTAAAATAAAAATTTTGCTTCTAAATCTTGAAAGAAGTCCGAGCTGAAAAACCAGGACATGGAAAAGACCTTAACCTTCGATCCACTACTGGAGGTTTAGGCCATCCCTACAACCTGTGATTTGATTTATTGGCTGGTCAGAATTCATAAGTGGCACTTCCAAAGATTTTTAAGATTCATTCAAATTTTAGAATACAACCAAATGCAAAGAAAGACTATAAAAGAGTTGCTGGTTAGTGATTACTATTCCTTAACCTTTTATCAAAATATCTTTGTAACCTGTTGTCGATCACATTAAATATTTTGAACTTAAGATTCTGCTAAATCAATTAATTAATTTTAATATTTAGTGTAAACCATTAGGTGGCAATGAAATAGGCATCATAAGATAAGAATTTGGGGGTTGGGTAATCAGTTTTTTAAAGATCTTTTACCTCGAATATAGCAAGAGGGATAGCTCTCTCTGTAACTGGTGCTCCATCCGGTTTCTTACTGATGATAAACTTACAGGATAAGCCAGCATCCTAAATTTATGTTTTTTGGGATATTTCCTGATTTTTGTGTCAGGTCATTCAATGATCAATTTATTAGCCTTAAAACCATCAACAATCGTTTTTGTTTAAAAATTGTCTTTTATTGAATAATTGGGTTTATAAGCTGAAAAACGTCAACTTTCAATCCCTTTGGCTTTAATTATCATACAGTCCAAATCAAAAAGACCCGGAATTAATTTACTATTTATCCAACGACTTTAAAAACATGAATTATGAAATGAAGATCACAAAACAGCCCTAGTCCTGCCATTTCCATTGAAAATTGCCGTAGATATATATGTAAAGTAGCCTGATTAACTGTCTTTTAATTCACTCATTAACTCACTCATAAAATTCAATTTGTCTCCTTAACAGTAATAACAAAAAGTAGCTGAATGATTGTCGTCTTCGTATATTTTTATTTGTAAATTACAAGACGCCGAATATTTCTTGATGGTATCGAAAGGATCATTTCTAATCAAAAGAATGAAAAATGTGACATATATTCCAAGTTTAACAGAATTCAATTAAGAAAATAGTAAGTAGTGTGAAAAAATGTTCAGAGGTGGTAAAAAGCTTCATATTGCAGGGATTTGGGGGGAGGAGGGTGAAAATTAGAAAACTAGATAGATATAAATACCCAGTCATAGGACAAGCCAGGTGATACGGCAAATATCACTTTTTAAATATTGTACTTTTAATGAAATATTGAAATCTAGCTTATCAGTAAACATGGGGCGGAATTTATCCCAGTACAGTATGAGGGCCGGGGCCGGACTGGTTCAAAATAAGTAGAGCATTCATAATCACATACTTTCTTAGGTGGAAGAATAATTTTGTACCTTGACCATCTGATCCCCAAGGAACTCTGCTAGACGTTTAGCTGTAGATATACTAGTAGATTTCTGTCCTTCATACTCTGCCAGGGTCTTACTCATACTCTGTCATTCATAACAATTAAAGGGACTGTTTTAGTTATTTTCAGTGACCCTCCATTTTAAGAATTAGAAGGAACTTTAAACCTTTTAAACGAAAAAACATTATTGGTAATATTCTTGTTTTTTTATCTAAAAATTGATAATTCTCACGAAGTGACATGGAAATGAGACATGAAAGGTCTACATTCAATGATCTCATTGTTACTCAAATAAAAGTTTAATTTACACTGTTGGGAATAGCTCATGTAACTCTTTAAATGGAGGGTTAATTGAAATTGCCTATATCATATAAATGATGAATAATAATATGAATGATTTAAAGATCGAGATCCATGATTGGTTACTTGATTTTTTATTGAATAATTAATAAAAACACTTTAAACTTGACTTCTAAGATTGAATTTAGATTGAATTTACCATGAAAAAAAATTATTCAAGCTAAAACATAATCTTTAACTTTCTGTTTAATGCTGCAAGACTTAGTTCCGTAAAAATTTGTCAGCGTTAATAAAAATAAATTTTAAAAAACTTGAATATTGTTTCCACCTTGTTTTCACTGATGAGCTCAAAGAGTTCAGAATCCGGCATATTTGCTCCTTTACTGTACAATACATCCAACCAGTAGTCGGCAACCTTAAACAGAATGTTTAGGAATTAGTGAAAGGAGAGTATAATAAACCTGGGGCCAAAACTTTTGAATTATTAATCCCTTTCTAAATCACTAATCCGTTTTTCCATAATCTAAATCTATTCTGTATCTCTGGTTTAATTAATGTTATCATTTTTGTTTTAAATACAATCCATTCCACAATTAAATCCCTTAAATTCAAAAGCTTCCAATGTAGCTCAGCGTTTTTTCAAAAACAGTTCTGACCTTTGTAAATAGGAACTATTTCGGTTTCAATCCGATTCTACTTGATAGTATTGGAAGTAGAGAAAAATCCCCGAAAATTACACAATATAACATTAGTTCACTGAACTGGGTGTCAGATCAAGAGGTATAGAGAGTGGATTACACCCGGAGGAAGGGGACGTTATAAACCAATTTTTATAAAGTTTCTATTGCTAAGATTGGTTTGAAGGATACAAAGGATGAGACTTCACGATACGATTGTACGGAATTTATATTGTCTGTTTATAATAACGATATCCTGGAACTACAAACTTGTTTCTTTCTTTGCCAAATCATTAAAAAATGCTATTTGATTACTATATCTCAGGCATAATAATTAATTTAACCTTAGAAACGTCACATTTTAGAGTTTCTGGTCGTCTTTACAGTCTCATCCTTTGTGGATAACCCTGTACTAATGAAAAAAGAACCTTTGCAACCGCGTCATAGCATGATTCTAAGGATCCACCCTTGAGGAACGCCTCAAACACGGTGGACTGGAAGATCTTGATAATCTGTAGTTCTCCTCTTCTTTTCACCTCAAACCCCTGAACAAGACTTTTCAAAAAAGATTGTATAAGATTGAATTTTTTTTTCGAAAAAAAAAAATATTTTATTTGTGTCAAATATTGTCTGAACGATAGAAACACAAGCCAACCCAATTCAAAAAGTTGAGATAGTTTTCTTTTAATCCTATACCGCCTTTTTACCAACATAACAGACATGATTCCCCCATCTCAGAGGAACGTTAAGTTACTTTACGTCCCTAGGGACAATTAAGTAAAATAACGACCCGACCTGCGGAGTTTCCGTAAAAAATTACGCTACGCTCTGGATGTTTTGTAGGCAAAATTGGTCTTGGGAACCCTTAGTAATGTAATATTCCATTAATTATTACCTTTAGTTCTGCTAAGCTTTTATCAAAGTTAAAAACTGCATATCGTTTCTTCAGCTTCTTACCCTCCTCCTAGTTTCGCAATCAATTAATCGATCAATGTATCATATTTCCTTTTTGTAAGTCTTTAATTGCAATTTTAAAAAAGGGGTATCAAAATTTTCTTGCTTTTTATAAAAAACAGGGGTTACATTTGAATCGGAAACGTTCAACACAAACAAAATCAACTTTGTTGTTCCATAGTTAAAAGGACTAATGAAAAAATAGCAACAAATCCGGCATAAGAAGGCAAAAAACGAAATCTCTTATAAAAACTTATTTTTTGTTTTAATAGATTTCCTTAGAGGCTGGTAGAATCATGGCAAGGTATGGTCCATCTACCTAAAGTAAAAATAAAGAATGAAATATAAATAAAACGCTTCAAACTCAGATTTCTTATCCTTATATCTCTGTAACCTGATCGAGTAAACATGTGATGTGTAAATGTGATCTAAAAGAGCGCACAGCTTGAAATCTCGAAGGTTTGGATACCAGGTTGCAAAGATAAAAGGATTAGATAAAATAATTCGAGTGAACAGAGTGATCAGTAATCAGATGGGAGTAATCAGTTCCTTTGATAATTCATTTATAATGTTGATGTTACATCAAATAAAAAAAAAGAATTCGATGTATCAGAAGTAAAATATTTTAAGATGTTCTAAAATATTAAATTAAATTGTATTTTGTAAAAGGTTGCGTAATTTTTTGGTTTCTATTAATTGAAGTCGTAAAAGATTGCTATGTTTATCTTTTTGATGGGTCCATTTCCTCATAATTATTAATAAGTTAGCTCAAAATAAAACTGATAAGTAAAATATTTAAACACTTCTGTTTAAAACATGGGGTTAAAGGGACTGTAAAAGAAAAATGAAAAGGGGTATAGGCTAAAAGCTCATCACTTTAGTTCTTGATCGCGACCCATGAAAGTTTTATCTGATGTTCCTGTCTCAAGAAATTGATATAAAACTGTGTAAAAATTATACGAAAGTTCATAGATGTAAAATTTAGAAAATCTTAAACTTAAATCACGTGACCAGAACTATCACCAATGGCAGAGCAGTATACTGGTCAAGTGTCTCTGCCTGTATCACGTGACCACTTTACTGCACTGTCATTGGTGGATTTTCTGGTCAAGTAATTCGGACGTGTAAATAATATTATGAATTAAATCTATTAAAAATAGAAATAACCAATATAAAATTAAAATTGGAGTAAACCTAAGTAATAATTAGCTTTCTCTGGGATATCATCGTTTTCAGATTGGTTGCTTATTTGCTCAATTTGATCTATTTAAACCCACTACTTTTATACAAAATTGTATATATATAATATTAATTTTCGTATAAATTTGACACAGTTGTATATCAATTTCTCGAGATAGGAACATCAGATATAACTTTCATGAGCTGCGATCAAGAGCTAAAGTGATTAGCGTTCAGCCTATACCCCCTTTGATTTTTCCTTTACAGTCCCTTTAAGGAACTCCGTGAGCCCATGGTCTCTAAGCTTCTGGATTCGCAAATGAGTATTTAAAATGACCTGGCGCTACAGCTATCCTTTAGAATAAATATTATAGAAGTAATGTAGAAAAATTGTTGGAAAAAATATTTAATATGCTAAATACGTTTAAATACTCATCTGCTAATCCAGAGGCTTGGAGACCATTTTGCTGGGCTCATGGCGGCCCTGCACCCCCTCCCTCGGGGTGCATGCAACATGTTCAATACAACAAATGTTTATCTGTTACCTCAAAGAAAATAGAATTCTCCTTCCTGATCTCGTACTTGAGGGTCTCCGGGTCGACAAGCTCGTGATACTGGTCGTTGGTGTTGTTATCCTGTACCAGGATATTCAACATGGCACCAGGATACGAGATGGTCACCTAAACAATTCATCCATTATTTTTTTTTTAACAATGAAGTAGAACTAGTTACGGCTAGTTTATCAACACTCATTGCGCAGGGAATATTATTCAATTTTCTTTACCTTACTTTATAAATTCAAAAATTTCAGATTCTCCGATAAATCCAAAATTTTGGTAGCGGAGGAAATATCATCATCTTCAAGTTCTTCATCATGGAAGAAATCCACGAAAAAGATTAATTTAATCCACAAACCAGTATTTATTAAACATGTTAGTTTGTGCTCTATTCCCAGTCAAACATACATATATCTAAACCTATTTCAAGCTCAAGGCATATCAAAATTCAAAATATGGAGCACATCTATTTATGTTAAATACCGAGAAACTAGTGGATCTTGAATACGAGATTAACAATTCCTTCATTATCAACATTATAGAGCTTAACTAACTGATGAGTGTTCAATGAAAAAAATCTTTGAAGGGGCTAAAAATTGGAGGTAATTTTTTTTAACTTCCAGATGTTCAATCAAATCAAATAATACAAATACTTATGAAAAATATCACAAAAAAAAAATAAAATACGTATACAAATAAAACAAACCATAAATAGAAAAAATGATAAGCGAGAAGTAGCTGAACTATGCGAAATTTAACTACTTTTTACAAACAATTCACACAACTGTTTCTGTAGCAAAATATAAAAGACGACAAAATCTTCCACAAAATTGACAAATTTAAGGTTTCATGGGTACTGTGGTGTATTAGTAATGTCATCTTAGCTTGAAAATACGCTTTCAGTCCCTCTAATCAGAAAATCATTATCGAACCTGCTTTAAATGATTCAAATCTTTACCTTCGACTTTTTAGGATTGGTCGTCTTTATATCATAATTCTCCGGGAAAGATGCGGGCAAGACACACCAGATCCCATCAGTATCCAGCTCCAGGGGCCGCCCTATCTGTTCTATCAGTTCACGGGCACACTTGATTATACCAGCTCCGGTATAGCAGACAATACCTTAAAGGGAGTGATCATCAATTTTGAAAATGGGTGGGGGATAATCAAGGTTATATAAAGTTAGATACTCTGGATGCACTCCAATGTAGGTAAATGTCGTCTTGTTTGCAATAGACACAGTAAATCCTCATATGACGTCACTGATACTTAACTAACAATAAATTGATGATACTAACAGTTTTAAGCTAAAAAATGCAATTCTATTTTAAGTTTTCAATTTTTGAATTCTTTTATATTCAGTAGGCCGCAAAATTTATTATTCTTTAAAACAAGCAGTGACGTCAGTTAGAGTGTCAATTGCTATAAAGGTCGTCTTTACCTTCATTACCGGCATTGGAGTGCATCCGCAGTATCTAACCTTATTAAACAACCTTGGGGATAATAAGGATTTCATGAATTAAATATTGAATTTAATGTATGAGATGGCCCCGTGACTGCTCGACGAATCCAGATCCCCTAGATATTCTTCTTAACTCTTTGGATCTTTATTTGGATTTTTGTTTTCAAAATAAAATTCTTAAATATTGACAAAATACGCTGCGCCTGATATTTCAAGTTTCACAGAACATTTGCCCCCACCCCTTTAAGAAATTTAGTTTTTGCCACAAACTCTGCTTTTCTAATCCCTTCACCTTTGCAACCCGGTGTCGTAGACCTCAAATATTTCAAACTATGATTTCTGTTAGATTAAAAAATGTAAGTTTGAAATATCAAAGTTGCAAAGATATAGGGATTAGAAAATTGGAGTCTGTGAAAAAGATTCAATTCCTTTATCTAACCTGCCATCTCCATGCTGTACCACCTGGCCCCTTTCCTCATTACATATCCGTAGAAGGAGTTTAAGATACATTTATGAGCCAGCTGCAGGGAATCATACAACACCTCCTATAAAATATAATTCACTATAATACAATAATACATTAGATAGAAGGAGTTCAAGATACATTTATGAGCCAACTGCAGGAAATCATACAACACCTCCAACTCCCATCTATCTATATATATAAATTTAGCTTGTATGGGTGTCTGTTTGTTTGTATTCAATACACGTCAAAACGGCTGAACCGATCGAGCCCAAATTTTGTGTGGGACCTCACGTGGCCCCTGAGAAGGTTTATGAATGATCAAAATTTCAAAAATTTGTACTAAAAAGTTTTTTTGTTTGGAAAATTTTGAAAATATGCGAAAAAATATTATGAAATCCGCCAACTTTTTAAATTTTTTTTCATGCTGTACAGAGAGAAGATGCTCACAGATAAAGCCATAATTAAAAGTTGAAATAGAAGATGGGCGCTTCAGCCTAGTACAAAATAATACTTTAAATACAATGAGTAGTATAAACCCCTTAAAAAACACCCAACTAATGCCTTTGTAAGTAAAATCTTTTTAAGCAAAGTTAGAAATGGTAATTGAGTCATTTGTACTTCTACTTGCCTTATTTTTGGCGGATTTAAGCCAGGCGGCATCATTGCTTTTAGCAGCTTCTGCAACCTCCTTCTTTGAGGATTTACACAATCCTTTGTAGGTGTATCGTCGATCCCTTAATAGATACAAAGTAAAGAAAAGATATCATTTTTTGGTTTAATGTCGATCCACAAAAATCTATTTGTGTTGCTAAAATGTTAAATATTTAACAGAAATACAGTTCGAATTAAAAATTAATCAATATAAGAGTTCCATGTTTCACTTTGGTGATATTCTTACTGAATCTATACGTACGGTAGCCATGTTGGAAATATTAAAGCAACATTAAGTTACTGATTTAACAGCAATGCTTGATAAAATACTGAAGTGGAGGGACTGTAAAAACAAAAATAACAACCATAATAATAATAATAATAAGAATAATAATCTTATAGTATTAATAATGTAAGTAAACCTATAATAACATAATAACAATAACATAAAACAATAACAGCACGAACAATGTCCCGACCTGAATGCTCTGACCGTATCTACGTAAAAACTGTTTTCTTTCTGGCAGATGGTGGTAAACCTTTCTTCCATCTTAGTCACGTGGGTCTTCTTATACGCTTTTCTAATCAATAAATCAATAAATCAATCAATCAACCAATAAATCAATCATTCAATCAATAATTCAGTCAATTAATTGATAAATTAACCTTTCCATCAATAAATCCATTAAACAACACCAATTGAACGATACAATTAAAGCAATCAATTTGTATAAATCCAAAACATTTATATCCAGCAGTCCTTAACTTCGAACAGACAATCAATGAATCAAATATATTTTTTTAACTAGTGTCTCGGTTAGATCTTAAGTAATCTATATCTAAATTTGGCTTGTTTGTCTGTCTGTCTGTTTGTTTGTTTGTATCCCATAAACGTCAAAACGGCTGAACCGATCGGGCCCAAATTTTTGTGGGACATCACATGACCACAGGGAAGGTTAATGAATGATAAAAATTAAAAAAAGTGTTTTAAAGGTTTTTAATTTTGAAAAAAAAATTAAATTCTTGAAAATCCGCGAATTTTTTTAAAATGTAAACAAAAAGAACATGTTCACAATTTAAATAGAAGATGGGCGCGAAGCTCCCTAAAAACCTTGTTTCTAAAATTGATTTAAAATTAGAATGGATAAAACTGAGAAGAAAAACTTTTCCTCCAGCTAATTACATTGATTGTCATTTCTCTTTTTCTTCTGATTTGGCTTCATGCATTTTTTAATCAGAAACTTTACCATCAGATGTCAGCGGAATCTTAAAAGAAAACTTTTGGTACTTTTAGACCCTCAGGAGAGTTTTTGCCAACAAAAAAACCTTTTTTAAAATAGAAATAAGAATGTATTTTCGGAGATAATCGATAAGCACTGGACATCTTTTAAAGATTTCCTTTTTCTTCTTTATATAATAGATTTTAAACAATTAATAAACTATGTAACGAAATCATTTTACCACTTAAATATATCACATCAAATAGAATAATAAATATTGGAACATCAAACGGCAAGTTTTTCCCTCCTTTTTGATACTTCAAACAAAAAAATAAATTTTCCCTACCTTATATAGTAGGGGTGTGAAATTTAGTGAAACTTTTCTATAATCATTTTACAGAAGCAAAATAGTATTCCACTTGGAATTCTAAGGCATGTTTATAGAATACATTTTTCACAAAATTCAAAAATGTGCCCCTGAAATTGGGTTTAGTGATAAAAAATCACTAGTGTTAGCGGAAATGAAAACTTTGACAATATTAATAATATGGGTATCCATTGAACCAGCTTGAAAGCCGGAGTTCAAAACAATTTACAGAATTGAAAAATATTGAAAATTGGGCAAGTTATGGTCAGAAATAGATTTTTTCTTTGAAAAAATTTCATTATAGTAACTAAAAAGTGTATTTTTTGACCTTACTCAGTCAATTTTCAATATTTTTCGATTCGGTAAATTGATTTGAATTCAGAAATTCAATTCGGTTCCAATGATACCCAATTCAATAAGTATTTCAAAATTTTCATTTTCACTTATACTAGTGACTTTTTAAATATTAACCCCCATTCGAGGGGCACTTTTTTGATTTTTGTGAAAAATATATTTTATAAACATGTCTTAATATTCCTAGTAGAATACTTTTTTGCTTCTATAAAATTGTTTCAGAAAAATTTCACACCCTTATTATATAGTTTCCCATTCATTAATAAACTTTTTATTATTTTAACATACTGGGGAAAAAAGGATTACTGGAAAGGGGAAGAAATATTTGTCGACAACAAATAAACCTTTTGTCGACAACAAATATTCCATTTGTCGACAAGAAATAAACAATTTTTCGACAGAAAAATACCATTTGTCGACAACAAATATACCATTTGTCGACAAAAAATAAAACATTTGTCGACAACAAATAAACCATTTGTCGACAACAAATATACCATTTGTCGACCACAAATATACCATTTGTCGACAACAAATAAACCATTTGTCGACAACAAATAAACCATTTGTCGAACACAAATAAACCATTTGTCGACAACAAATAAACCATTTGTCGACAACAAATATACCATTTGTCGACCACAAATATACCATTTGTTGACCACAACCATACCATTCGTCGACCACAAATATACCATTTGTCGATAATAAATATACCATTTGTCGACAACAAGTAAAACATTTGTCGAAAACAAATATACCATTTGTTGACAAGAAATATACCATTTGTCGACAACAAGTAAAACATTTGTCGAAAACAAATATACCATTTGTTGACAACAAATATACCATTTGTTGACAACAAATATACCATTTTGTCGACAACAAATATATCATTTGTCGGCAAGAAATATACCATTTGTCGACAACAAATATACCATTTGTCGACAACAAATATACCATTTGTCGACAACAAATATACCATTTGTCGACAACAAATATACCATTTTTCGACAACAAATATACCATTTTTCGACAACAAATATACCATTTTTCGACCACAAATATACCATTTGTCGACAAGAAATACACCATTTGTCGACAACAAATATATACCATTTGTCGACAACAAATAAATATACCATTTGTCGACACCAAATATACCCAATTTAATTATGCAAATGGATGATTCTTTATAATGTCAGTTACTCCATTAAAGTCAATATCATGGATTTTCTTTTAATTTTGTACACAGCTGGCACATTTAACCTAACAAAAAAGTTATTGCTAATTAAAGCTAATTAAATCTAATTAAAGCTAATTAAAGGCCGGAACTTTAGGAGGCGATAACTCTGTTATCAGAGGTCATAAGATTCTGATATTTTGGGTTCAATATCATCTGGAATAATGCTAGCTGTGTGCAAAATTTAAAACAAATATATGACATTGACTTCCATGATATCGAATGACCCAAATATGCCACCAATCATCTTCAACACCATCCCCTAGAGCATGTACCTGCAGTACTCTGCCAATCTCTTCTTCTCCATGTCCGCCTGCTCCTCCTTGTTCAACTTGTGGAAGGGTCTGTGAGGTTCTCCAGGAAACTTGCCGGGAAACTTTTCAGTCTCAAGCTGCTGCTGGATCCTGAACAAAAAAGATAAAATAAACAAACAATGAGAGTTGACAAAATATGAAACAAATGGGGCCAAATCTTATCCAATAGTTTATACAAAACACTTTGTTTGGTGGTAAATTAAAAAATATTTATTCTTTCAGTCCTTTCTCTTTATGAAAATAAGGCATATGCATTTTAAAAAGCGTATTAAATCCACACTCCCAGACCCTCTTAAGCCCCATCAACATCTTCATATTTTCAACATCTTCATATTTTCAACATCTTCATATTTTCAACATCTTCATATTTTCAACATCTTCATATTTTCAACATCTTTATATTTTCAACATTTTCATCTTTGCATTGAAAGATATCTGTGTCCATTGTCATCTTTGAATTGAATTTAATACCAACCTGTGATATTCCGATCTTGAAGCTGGCATAATTTCTCCCCTCCACATCCAGGGCATCCGCCTCTGACATTTAGCTCCAGGTCTATTGAAATCGCATGCAGCACAGGTTGTCTAAATACTCAGAGATGGATTATCTTGTATTGTGAATTAATGCTAAATCTTGATATTTGTTAATCTGCAGATTATTTTAATCTTTATTAGTTATCCCGCATGGTAATCGTATTTAATCAGGGTTTGAAGGCAGATTACATCATTGGAGGAATAACTAAACGAAGGTATGGAAAGGTATAGTTTCAAAGAACCTTAAATTACAAGTCGAGATAAAAATACAACACAACACTTGGCTCAGTTTCAACTCGAAACTTTTCAAAATTTTCGGAATAATTTATTTATATCAAGTAGGATTTAAAAGCTGAATTAGCAAAGGATGACAACACTTACTACATTTTCTAATTTTCTAATCCCTATATCTTTGCAAACTGACGTCTTCGACCTTAGATATGTCAAACTGTAAATTCTGTTAGATTTAACATAAAGTGTTGGTTAAAATTTCAATGGTTTACACCATCAGGTTTGAAAGATATAAGGCCTAGAAATATAGAAATGGTGCGAGCGCTGGGTTACTTTAAACTGCAAATTTTCAACTTTTTCAAAAAAGTTTTTTTTCTAATTTGTCTCAATCTCTTTGATAATGAAAAAAAAAAAATTTAAAAAAAGAAACCAGGTTAAAAGGAATCTATATGATAAAAAATTAGATCACTTTCCTTAAACTCTTATGCCTTAAATATTTTAAATTCTGGGAATATAGATTTATTAAAATTAGAGTTTGAGGTGGGTAATCAGTTTAATTGTCCAAAGAATGTACCTCGTCGACCATTGCTGAGGGCTGAAGTCTGTTTGTGAGGATTATATTTGGGTACATAGCCCCAACATCTAGATGGTAGATTATAGGGTTCTCTAGTCTAGCTGGGGTATCACGTAGATCACTCAGTTTCTCCTACAGTATTATTATTATTACTATTATCATTGTTATTGTTTGTTATTGATATTATTGATATTATTGATATTATTGATATTATTATATTCATAGTATTCATAGTATTCATAGTATTCATAGTATTCATATTATTCATAGTATTCATATTATTCATATTATTCATATCATTCATATCATTCATATTATTCATATTATTCATATTATTCATATTATTCATATTATTCATAGTATTCATATTATTCATATTATTTATATTGTTGATATTATACATATTATTCATATTATTCATATTTGAATCCCAGCATTATTAATATTGTAATCATAGTCCCGGTTTTTAATAGGGTTATCTAGTCTAGCAGGGGTATTTCGGCAATCACGCAACTTCCTCTGAAGTATCATTATTATTACTAGTATCATTGTTATTGTTGTTATCATTGTCATTATCATTATTATTGTAGCGATCTCTAGTCTAGCAAGGGTCTTTTATCCAACAGTTTCTGCTAGAGTATTATTATTATCATTGTTATCATTGTTATTGTCATTTGATATTTTGTTTATGCATTATACAATCCCAAGTTTGTACTGCCGCAGAATTTCTTCTAGAGAGTTTTTAAGCTTAGGAGTTAGGACTATCAACCCTAGTGCATAATCTCCTTGATCCTACTCTAGACCTGCATCCTTCAAACAAGTGACGAAACCCCAGCCATCACATTTAAACCATTCATTTTCAGAATTTTCTCTTTCTATGAACATGTTGATAAAATCTCAGTTAAATATACCTAAAATTGCCATCCTAGAGTTTCTTGAGAAAAAATGAATGAAAGGAAATTAACAATTTTCCGGAAACTGCGTGGGATGCCTCACGTTGCTTGACCATGAGTCCGGAAAATATCAGAATTAAATTTCATCTAATAATTTACAAATTTAAATCTCTAAGAATCAAATTTGATACCCAGTACTAAATTTAAAGCTTCATTAATTGAAATGTCATTTCATATTTAAGCAAATAAGATTTTAAATTTGATTCGTAGGAATTGGAAATTTCCTAAAAGCTGTTTGGGGCCTCATTCATTGTACAGTGAGTCCCAGATCAAGTAATTAAAATATTTAGTGTTAATGTGACATTACGTCTCCTTCTATAAAAGGCTCAATCTGACTATGAATTAAACAGTTTTAAGTAAGCTAAGCATACTAATTTTATGTTTTCTTAGTACAGCTTTTTAGATAGGTGAGTCCTATCTTAATAGTCAGGAACAGTCTATTTAAATCTGCTCGAACCGACGCGTGTAAAGAGAAGCGAACAGACGAGCGCGCAGTATTCAAAAGCTTTGAAGCACAGAAGAAGACTCACTCCCACTTTTACCATTGACTTATAAATACCTTAATCTGTCATGAGTTCTGAATTTTTAATATTATTATTCATTTTTATTCATTTCAAATTATAAATGTAAATGAAGGTTTAGCAACGCTTGAGCACTTCATCACTTCAAACAGTATGGTTGACAGTTAATGAGTTTGAACACTGAATTCGACGCACAAAAAAATGAACAACGTGATACAAGATGTGTTAGATTGGATTTATATTATTAAAAAAAAAACATAAAAAAATTAACATATTTTTGTCAATCTGAAGTACAGACGGACCAATAAAGTTTTAAAAGTTCAGTGATAGAAACAATGTTACGAAAAAGGGAAAAAATTATACAATCTAAAATGTTTTATCTATTCTAATTACTTAACAGAAATAAAACCTGACCGGTACATAATATTCTTAATTTTAATCTCATTGGTTGTGTTCAATATAATAATGTTGACCACTGTATCCTTACCTGGATATCCTCTAGAACCTCCTGGAAGTTAGTAACCTGGTCCAGGGGGATACCCTCCTCTATCTCTATGGCACGCCTAGGATTATTTAAAGATTAAAAATAAATCTCTATGGCACGCCTTAGACTTTATGAAGATCAAAACAAATCTCTATGGCACGCCTAGAATTACATAAAATTTAAAAACAAATCTCTATGGCGCGCCTAGGATTTTATGAAGATCAAAACAGATCTTAATGGCACGTCTATAATTACTTAAAAATTAAAAACTAATTTCTATGGCACACCTATAATTACATAAAAATAAAAAACAAATCTTCGGCACGCCTAGGAATTTAAAACGTTCAATTATCATAAAAAAATCAAAACAAATCTCTATGGCACGCCTAGAATTACATAAAAATTAAAAACAAATATCTTTGACACGCCTTGGATTATTAAAAGGACTAAAAACAAATCTTTGTGGCACGCATAGGATTAAATAATTCGTTTGCAAATTGTAATTTCTCCATTTAAGTGACTTGGAGATGTATGCAGTAGACTCAAATAATGAAATTGAAAGAAATCTAAACTTTTATGAAAATTAAAAACGGCAGTGAACATAGAACTGTTGCCCAGATGAAATTTTATAAGGTACCGGTGTGAATCAGGCATGCAACTTTTTCAATGCGCGGGTGTGGTAACTTTAAATTTCGTGCACAGTCCCTTTTACAATTAAATATTACATACTTGAGACATCGTTCTGCATCATCGTGAAGCATCTGGAAAGCTGCGGGAACCATTCGAAATCTAAATATTATTGTGTCAAGTTTATTTCATATTTACACGATAGTTTCCTGATAAGAAGACAAAGTCGTCTTCTAGAGTTATTTTGGAGCAATCATGAATCGTCCGAACATTGTAAATTCAGAATACCAAATTCAAGGAATTTAATCCGTTTGAGAATTTGAAAAAATTCCCAACCTTTCTGGGGGTTTAGAGCTGGGAACTTCAGAATGGATAACCTTTAATCCCAACTACTTAATCCGAATATCCATTGTGGAAACTTTTTTAGTCCTTAATCCACTCTTTTTCTCTCTCTTTGGATATCCGTACATTGTTTTCTCCAAAGAGAATGAAGGAATATAGTTCGTAAATTGTATTGACCAATGACAGCCTTGAAAATAAATTCTATCCCATGAGAGAAATCCGCAATTTCTAACAAATAAAGAATATGTTGTCGGCCATTTTGAAAATTAGGCGGTTAAGAAAAATATTTAATAATACGTTTGAGATTCTTTTTTAACCAATTTTAACTATTGCAGGGTGGCCAAAACTTTTTTGAAAAAATCCGTACAAAAATCCATAAATTTTCAGAAAAAATCCGTACAATCCGTACAATTTTCGAAAAAAAATCCGTACAATCAGTACAATTTTCGAAAAAAAATCCGTACAATCCGTACATTTTTTGGAAAAAATCCGTATATTTTTTTAAAAATCCGTACAATCAGTACAATTTTCGAAAAAAATCCCTACAATCCGTACATATGATATTCTAAACTGGCTATGCAGAACCATAATCTAAACTGGGTCTGCTACACCATATTCTAAACTGGGTCTGCTACACCATATTTTAAACTGGGTCTGCAAAACCATATTCTAAGCTGGGTCTGCCACACTATATTTTTAACTGGGTCTGCTACACTACAGTCTAAACTGGGTCTGCTACACTATATTCTTAATTGGGTCTGCTACACTACAGTCTAAACTGGATCTGCTACACTTTATTCTAAACTGGATCTGTTACACAATATATAAACTGGGTCTGCAAAACCATATTCTAAACTGGGTCTGCTCCACCATATTATAAACTGGGTCAGCTACACCATATTCTAAACTGGGTCTGCTAAACCATATTCTAAACTGGGTCTTCAAAACCATATTCTAAGCTGGGTCTGCCACACTATATTCTAAACTGGGTCAGCAAAATCATATTCTAAATCGGGTCTGCAAAACCATATTCTAAACTAAGTCTGCTACACCATATTCTAAACTGGGTCTGCTACACCATATTATAAATTGGGTCAGCTACACCATATTCTAAACTGGGTCTGCAAACCCATATTCTAAGCTTGGTCTGCCACACTATATTCTAAACTGGGTCTGCTATACCATATTCTAAACTGGGTCTGCAAAACCATATTCTAAGCTGGGTCTGCCACACTATATTCTAAACTGGGTCTACTACACCATATTCTAAACTGGGTCTTCCACACTAAAATTCTAAACTGGGTCTACTCAAATGAACACTTCTGGAACATATTCTCAAATGAACACTTCTGGAACAATTCTCGAAAATTATTAATGAATTTTGATTGTCAATTGAAACATTAATCAATCTAATATTATTTAGAATGCAGAAAATAAGTCTAACTTCATTTTGACGAGAATTTTTTTTTGAAATTTTCATGAAAAATTTGCTGAAATGAGTGAAAATTAAAAAAAAACGGTGTATTTACAGGATAAAATTTGAAAAAAAATCCGTACAATCCGTACAAATTTAGGGTTACAAAAAAAAATCCGTACAATCCGTACATTTTGGCCACGCTGCTATTGTATTAATAAATAAATGGGTGATTAATTAAGTGAAGGCCCTTCCAATCAAGAAAACGAACACATCTGGCGTTCCTAGAATCAAATTTGTTGATCTAAATATTTAATCTCAAGATTATGTTAGTCTCGAGATTAGCAAAAAGAGAGGATTAAGCAATAATCTCGATATCCACCATTCTAAAGTTCCTAGCTCTGAAGATACTTTTTATATGAACAGTGGCCGAATTTAAAGAATTTGAGCGGCGGTTTAAATTTAAGCCGCGGTTTAAATATGGTTGGTTTAACTTAAAATTGAATCAAATGTTTCCAGATTTAAGTCGGCGCTTAATTTAAACCGGGTTTTGGCGGATTTAAACCGCGGCTCAAATTCTTTAAATTCCATCTGAGGTGTATAAAAAGTATAATAAAAGAAAACTTTCAAGCTAAACTTAGATAACAAAATAAAAAAGCATATTTAATGAAACTTACAACTATTCTCCTGACTACTGTTATTTCCTTTTTAGAAGGATTTTTTTATGTGGATTTTTTGTGGGAATTTTTATCTGGCAACTCTACGTGTATTCTACCTGCACGGTATATCTGCTCTAAAAACTCCGGACTCTATGGCCTCCACGTGACCTCCAACGTATGTCTCGCTCTCCATCACCCTCCCGTCCTCTGTCATCTTGTTTAAGATGGTCTCCTGCTTGTTGGGGAACACAATATTCGCTTCGAATGCCTAAATTGATATAAATTCAATCTTCTCAGCGGAAGGAGAGCAGCCATAGCAGAGCTGTTTTCAGGGCGGTTTCGTTGCAATTGAACCGATGTTTTAAGAAGAACTGATGTGTACATCGTTAACTGAGTTTAGAGAAGACGGAGGAATAGGTTCGGGTTTGCTCAAATAAGCATAAAGAACTTATGAGGAAGAACTTTGAATGATGACGCACTAGTGAAGACGTACTATAGAGAAAATATTTCAGAGGAAGCAAGTGTGACACTGAATAAACCAGTGCTTAGGATCCGTTGGATCAGAAACATTTTGGCTTCCTGGATCCGAATCCGGAGTCTCAAAAATATGTGGATACACGGATAAGGATCCAAAGACAAAATATTAATTAAAAACTGCAAAAAAAAACTTTTTACTCTTTAAACTTAAGTATGCTCTGTTAAAAACCGAGAGATAATAAAAAAGGTTTTTCTTTTCTTCAGAAAATCTGATCTGATAATCCTATTCGAAATTTTTATGACCTAGATCCGGATCCGCATCAAAATTCACTGGATCCTCAGAACTGGAATAATCATTGCAGGATAAAATGAAAAAGAGACCTTCTTCTTGTTCAAACTTTTATTAAAAAACAACGTAAATACTTTTAAACATGAATTATCAAAAAAAATGACAGGGTTAACAAGTGGCTTTTCGCTATATACTCTCTACTTGCTCAGGAATATATAAAATTTGAGATCTTTAATATCGACCTGAGACCTACCTGTACACAAAGCAAAGCTTCGCAGAGGGTTCCTGAACCCTTTCTGAGAACCTCGTCGGGTTCCATCGGAATAATTGTACATAAAGCGTAGGTGAAGGGATGTACATATTTCATGTACAGGTAGTAGGTTGCCACAGCATCAGATACAGAGTAGTTGGCTAAATCCTGAACAAATATTTACCATTTTTATTTTTATTTTATTTGACCAAATACAATTTTTTAATCAATTTTGTGCAATCAAAGTTTTTATGTATATTACTTCTTGTTATTTTTAAATCTTCCATGTACAAAAATATGAATATTTTCCCGGCATAACTTTTTCAGACTTTTCATAAAAATATGCTTAGTCCTCCATTTGTTTCATCTAAATTGGAACTTAAGTGGACGGGAGAAGTCGAATTTCTAAGGATTGAAGATGACAGCGGTCCGAGAATATTATTATTATTATCGTAAAATTAATTGTTCAACAATTTCTACCTGAGGTTGTTCCTTCGCCATTTGGCACATTTTCTCCATATCCATCTCTACTGGATCGTATCTAGAGTTAAATCAAATAGAATGATTTTTTTCTTTCAAATGCACATTTACTTCAAAGGGACTATCATCGTAATTTCATCGAGGGTACTCTGATCAACTATGTGAAATATAACGTTGTTTATCTGGTTTGTTAAGTCTTGTGAACCTGACAAGGAACTTTGTCAGTATAGTGTCACATGAAATAATGTTCCCAGTGTTCCTTGATTTAAAAATGTCTTAAAGACCATTTTATTTAATTTTGGAACTTCAAATAAGTAAACAATCCCTTTAGGAAGTGTTTTTTAGGGGTTTGTCATTTTCTATTGTGCGCATATGCTCCGTAAAATTCCAAAATAGAGAGATGGGGATTGAATTTTGTAGATCCAGAAAAATAATTAAATTAGTATTTATTTAGGGTTAGGTTAGGTTAAGACACTTTCTGGGCCGAGCGCTGCGGCTAGGACAGGTTAGGGGGCCGAGCGCTGCGGCCACGGGTGAGGTTAGGTTTTGACATTTTCTGGGCCGAGCACTGCGGCTAGGACAGTCTAGGGGGCCGAGCGCTGCGGCCACATGTCTCACATTTAGCTGCAAGTCTCTACGCAGGCATCCCACAGATATTATTTTTCTGGATCTACAAAATTCAATCACCCTCTCTCTGTTTTGGAATTTTACGGGGCATATGCGCACAACGGAAAATGGCAAATGCCTGTTTTTTATTCTTTGAAATTTATAAAAATCATATCTTATATACAATATTATTTCTTACCTGAGTTTAGCCTTGGCCGCCGCCTTTAAGTTCTGTGAGCCTACAGGTAGGTAGGAATCTCGTTTGACCCAGCAGTACGCGTCCATGTGGCTGGCCGGTCGGCTGCAGTACACGCCTTCGCGGTCCTTACTGGAAACATTATTTATTATTTATTATTATTGGTTACATAGATAGATAAATACCGGGTTACCCACAAAGGATGAGACTTCAGAGACGATTGTACGGAATTTATATTGTCTGTTTCCTTATATTCACGATTCCCTGCAACTAGAAACGTTTTTGTCAAATCATTAAATAAGTCATTAGATAATTATACCCAAAGTACTAATGCAAAGAAAGTTATTTCAGAGGTGTAAGCATTTTTTGTACTGCAGTGTACTGTCTTTGTGCGGAAAAGTAAACACAAGACGGATGTAAGAGCCTGACATGGAATTCATTTTCACAAAAATAATCTATGAACTATTCTGGTCTTAGGAAACTATTATGTGAATTTTCAAAATCATCAAAATTAAATGCTTTTATTCTTCTCGGATACTAGACGAACACTAATGCATCTATTCTTGATTACAAATTAACTTTCCTTGCATTAGTACCTTGATTATACCTAAACCAAAATACATAACTTAACCTCGGAACCATTACAGATTCCGGCCGTTTTTATAGTCTCAATCTTTGTGGGTAACCCTAGATAGATATTTGCACTCAGGAGAGTATACTGTATATTTTTCGAAAATCATTTCTTTCCCTCCCCCCTTTGTAAGGGGAGGGTAATTCTAAAAATATGCACCGCTGTTTGTACTGGTGTTTTGTACTGAAATAAGGAAAAAAATAATTAAAATAATCATTTACCTGAATCCTATTTCTCTGCCCATATCCAGACCATGCACTGCGGCTCGAGCCTCTATAAACGGCCAGTCGAAAAAGTCTCCGTTGTAGGTAACGAATATATGTGGCTTAATGTCGAGAATATGATCGAAGAATCGTTGAAGAAGACCGCTCTCGTTCGGTTCATTGTAGACGATAAAGGGGCCTTCAAACTCTGGTTTAGGAGTGTACTCGAAATCCTCAACATCGTCACCGATAATATCTCTATAATGTTAATACATGATCGATTTAAAAATTAAAAGTAAATCTTTAAAAAAGGGAATACTTTAACTTTTTTGTCAGGAACAATATTAAATCTTATAAAATCATACAACATGATACTCAATGACAAAATTTTAAAGTTTTGGATCTCGATCAGGCAAATTCCTGTTACAGATCAGATATCCCTGGCCATCAATCATGTAGGAGATCATCATAACTTGGTCTGTACAAAACATCATTCTTAGATCAAAATTTCCCTTCTTTTCAATCTTTTCCTATCCCTTGTCAATACATCCCATCCAATCCTATCTCAAGTTGTCATGTCCCATTCGATCCCATCCTGTACATTTCTATTCCTCTCCCATACCTTTCCCATCTCTTTCCCATCCTTTTTCCATCTCTTTCCCATCCTTTTTTCCATACTTTTCCATACTTTTCCATACTTTTCCATACTTTTCCATCCCATTCAAATCCTTTTCCCATCCCTTTCCCTTTGCATGACTTTTCCATCCCATGACATCCAACCCATGCTATTCCATGCCATTCCAATCTCTTCTCAAATAAATACCGATCCTGAGTCTCTCTAAGAATGATTCCTATGGCTGCGTCTGGAAACTTCAACGGAAGCTTGGTTGTCTCAATATCGAAGGCGAGTACAATACAGTCCGGAGTCTCGATCAGATCTTCACGCTTCATTATTGTCGGAGGCTCAGAAGTTCCCCTGCAGGTAGAATTAATGATTACATCATTATAATATGACATCTTTATTATGAGATGAGTCTTTGGCATTCTATTCGAACAGGCCGTGTCACTGAACCACCTACTGCCGGTTCAAATATAAACCCCCGCTATAAAGAAGATTCTGGAAGGATTTGAATCAGGGATTCAAATTTGAGCCGGCAGTAGGCTGTTCAAAATCATTAAATTGGGTACCCGTTTATTGTTACATCAAAAGTTTCAATTGGCTTCACAAACATCTTCGAATTCTTTCATATTTGAACATTTTTTGTTGTGATTTTAATACATTATGAATAATTTTGCTCTACCAGAGGCCGAATCTGAAGAATTTGAGCCGCGGCTCAAATATGGTTGGTTCCACTTAAAATCGTATTCAATGTTTTAAAATTTAAGCTGGCGCTCAATTTATACCGGTTTTTGGCGGCTTTGATTCATAAAATTCGGACAAAGAAGATATAAGCCTGCATGAACTTAGAAACCCAAATCGTACCAATATTGCAAAGTGTATTAAAACTTAAATCTTGAAAAAAAAATGTTTCAAAGCCAATATAAACTTCATAAGAAAAAGTAAAACAACAACAAAAATTACAAATTTTTTAATATCATAAAATATTTTTTTTTATTTGTTTAGCCTGACCTTGACTTGACCTGATACCAGCTCCCCACATAGATAGATTTATCTATGCTCACTCTAACATGGTAGGGAACATCGTGCTCACGAATATCTAGAAAACAATATTTTTTTTTAAAGAAATTAATGGGACTGTTCCCTTATCTGAACAAAACAGAACAGTATAAAACCCAAAATGAATGATCAGTCGTCCATTTTCAAACTTTAATTCGTTATCAAAATTAATTATATTGATTTAAGTATTCGTTCTTAAAATTGAGGAAATAACTTGTTAATTTTTGATGCACTATAATAAAAGGTATATTTTCGTTGATTTTGTGGAAAATAAAAAAATGGGCTTTCCCGGAAAATTATTCATTTCTCTCTTTAAAATGAAATAATAGTTGAACCCTTTTACATCCTATTAGAGTAAACAAAATAAAATTCTAGAAAAGATAAAGTTTGACTAACCAACGATAGCATCTGTTGGGTTTGTTTTGCCCGCCCCCATGCTATGGACCGCCTCCTCCATAGAGAAGACAGTGGCTGACTTTTCACGCTCACGGTTCCGTCGGACAGCACTCACCAAATCTTTCCGGACCTGGACATTAGAAAAATTTCATTAAGGGAAAGTGGACATTGAACAAAGTTGTTAAAATATTAAAGCAAAGGTCGTCCTACTCCAATCTTAACTACCTGGACCTTCCGGTGTATAGTTTATACTCAACATCCACTGTATGGGCATTTCAAACATGTGGGAATTATACACATGTGAACATTCATTCACTCATTATCAAACAGAGCAGTGAACTGCATAGTTAGTTAAATATGTTTAAGAATTATTTAATTGTGAACATAACATTTAATATTTCAGAAGTATGTGACTATTCATTCAAATGTTCCTCTACTTTTGTGGGTCCCTTTTTCGGCTAATGTAAATAAGTTTTATTATTATCAAATTCAATTTTATTGCTCATTGTTTATATATAATTCATTGTTATGAACCAAGCAAACTCTTTCATATCTAAGTTATTTTTTTATAGGTTTTAACATCGGAGAATAAATGTTTAAAACTTACTGAAATTCAACATTAAAACATCATCCAACACCCACGGGCAAAACAAGAGTAGAATGTCAACTTCATCTTCATCAGAAAACTCTGAAGATAACCTTGTAGGTCAAGGTCGAGGAGAAGAAGATGAAGGTCGTCAAGAAACAAGCAGGAAGTGCACTAGAAGCTCCCCTTGTTTACAACCTACATGCAACTCATGTTCATCAATTGAGGATACCAACACCAATCCCATCCCCCCCATCTCCTGCAACAATTCCCCCATGTACCTGCCCAATTCAAATGCCCCCACCCCTCCCCCCTCCCTTCATCATCCAATATTTCTCCTTAAAAGCTCTCTTACTGATGCTATCCAAAATAACTACCTCCACATTCTGAGACCCTTAATTTCAAAGTTTAATGAGATGGTAATTCTCCTGCCAATAGAAGAGCTTAACATTTTGAGTAGCTCTGGAATTAATAACACCATTCAAGAGGCTATGAAGATAATTGATCAAAGCAACCCACCTGATCCAACTCCATCCCATCTGATAGTGCCCCAAGCTACTCTGAAACCTCCTAGAATTGAACTCCCTAGATGGAATGGAGAAATTGTAAGTTTCTACACCTGGCTTGGCTCTTGTCTAGGTATGTTTGAGAAAATTCCTTGTGATTCCTGTTTAAAAATACAGTTACTCCTTCAACACATGCCAGTGGAGAAAACTACCACTCTAGTAGATTATCCTGACTATGAAGAATTTAAATCTGAGCTACTCTTACAACATGGTTCCCTCATCATTTACTCCAGAACTGTTTTCCAAATGGTTCAGAACCTACCCCACTGCTACTCAAAATCTACCTTTTGCAAGGAAATTGCTACAAAAATCCGAGCAATCCATACCAATCTATCAAGAATTAAGAAGTTTCATCCTAACAGCAATGTGGAAGAACAAGTACTGTCCCACCACCTTATTTCTGAAATTGTGGAGAGGTTTCCAACATATCTATGTGAAGTCTATGACAGAGACTTTGCAAAGTTCTGTATTTCCAACCCATCCAGCACTCCAACTCATCAATTTGAATTTCTTGTTACCTTCATAAAAGAAACAGAAATGCAGTACAGCCTGAGCACTACTGAGTTACCATCCTTACCCAGAAGTCAACAATTCTCTTCAAGAACAGAAATTAAGTCTGTGAGAACTGATGATGATCTGAAACATTCTACACAGAGAAAACAACCCTGTCCTCTTTGTCTGCAGAAGAAGTTTACATCCAACCATTACCCACTATCCAGACTGTGTGGAACCTCCAAGCTTGGAGCTGCTGAATTACAGTCTTTGATTTCTGAGCTGAAACTATGTTCCATATGTATCTTCAGACACCATGCAGATGAGTTCTGTGATTCGATAGGATACAAAGGCCGACCAAAACAATGTTATAAAGGTTGCACTCTTGATGGAAAGCCTTTACATTATGCTGCATGTCAACATAGCAACCATGTACCCAGTACAAATGTGTCTAAAGTGTCTGGTAGCAAGTCTATTCCACAAATCGAACAAGTGACCTGTAATTCAGTTCCCCTGAATCTCCAGTATGACACTGGCTGTGGGTTTAGTTTAATTAGCTGGTCTACTGTTTCCAAACTAGACCCTGCCTTTACTAGAAAAGGGAAGCCTGGAAGTATCAGAGTCTTCTCTTATGCTGCTGACAGTGGAAAAGTCATTCCATACACTCCAATCTCAGTTTTATTAGGAAAGAAATGGGTGAGACTAAATGCTATAGATCAAGAATTGTCAAAGACTGAACCCTTCACTGCCACAATTCCTAAGAAATGGGTTTCCAGATTCAACAAACTACAAGTTTTCCATGAGGGTAGTATTGATATCCTGCTTGGTCATGACAACCTGTGTTGTTTTCCAACAGGACTTGAGAGGAATCATGCTGGCTTGTCATTGTTTAAAAGTGTCATTACCAATCAGCTTGGTATATTTGGTCCTTTAGATCCTCATCTAGATCCCACTATGCCATCCTCTCAAGCATGCATCAAGAGAGTAACAACATCATATGACCTATCTGAACAGTTTTTACATCTAGTTTCTGCTGAGAACTACATAGATCCCCTCCTTAAACAGAAGTTAATCATTCAGAAGAAAGAAAATTCAATTGCTGAGATCCTCCGGAACACCAAAGTTATAGAGGAAAAGAATAAAGTACAAGTTACTTACCAGTATAAGGAAGACAGATTAAATTCTTTAGGTAACAATATCCATGGAGCCCAACGCCGCATCTCTGCCCTTCATAAGAGAGTGTTTTCTAAACCTCATATTTCTACAGAGTTGGACAAGTACATATTTGATCAAGTCCAATGTGGAAACTATGTAGAAGTGGACTTAGAAGAAGTTAAAGAATCTGGAAAACAATATCATGCTGTTGCCTACAATTTTGTAGTCTCAGAAAACAGTACCTCTACAAAGGTCCGCCTTGTAACAGATAGCTCAATGAAGACAGAAACTGGTTTAAGCTTAAATGATGTCACCAAAGATGCTCCTGGACAAGTTCCAGATATGAGAGGTATTCTGATGAGAGCCCGAACTCACAATTTCTTTTCAGTATTTGACATCCGTAAATTCTTTCGTTCAGTGTCCATTTCTGAGCAGGATTCTCTGCTTAGGCTAGTATTTGTCCCTGCTCAGACATTCTCAGCCAGCCCTACCCTAAACACTACTTGGAAAGTGTACAAGGATACAGCTATTCCATTTGGAGATGGTCCATCAGGAGATTATGCCACATGTGCAAAATTTGCAACGTGTATGCACTATATTCACTTGATACCTGAACACATCCGTGAAAATGTCCGCAGAGCTGTAATTCAAGATACATATATTGACGATGGTGGAGCTGGTGCTGATAACAAGCCAATGCTTGAAGAGGTACAAATTGGAATTCAAACATTGCTGAAGATGGGAGGTTTTGAGATTAAGAGTTGGGAAAACTCAGGGGATGTTGGGATCAGCAAGTATTTAGGAGTAACTTGGGATCGCAAACCAGATCTTTTCTTTCTGAAATTCAAGTTGAATCTCTCAAAGCGTTACAGGGGTGAAACTTCAGGAGAGGACCTATCACTAACTTCCATCAGTTCAGAAGAACTTCCTATACTTAAAAAAAATGTTCTATCTGTAGCCTGCCAGTATTATGATCCAACAGGTTTAGGGAACCCTCTGGTTTTTACTATTCGTGCTTTATACAGTTCTCTCTGCCGCAATCAAGCACTCAAAATGGATTCTCCATTAGACCCTGAAGATAGCAAAGTGTTCAAGTCTACTGTAAAGGAAATGATAAAGGCCAAATCCATTCCCTTTCCACGTCAAATAATCTTTGACTTCTCCTTTTCCCTTCACATCTGTTTCGATGGATCCCTTCAAGGCTATGGTGCTGCAGCTTATGTCAGTTCCAATGGATGTTCTAACCTACTTACTAGCTGTTCTAAAATCTTAGGCAAAAGCTCATTTTCAGCCCCCCAGAGTGAAATTTGTGGTGCTGTGCTAGCTGTCAAGATGTATTTGAAAATCAGGGATGAGTTAGCTGGCTCCTGTAAGCTAAAAGAAACCAAATTTTTTGGAGACTCAGAGATCATTCTTAAAATGATCAACCTTGGTAAACCTACTGACTTACAGGCCTTTTATGGTACTCGAATCATGTTTATTATGGAAGAAACTAAGAAAGAACAATGGTTCTGGTGTCCTGGCCATGCCAACCCTGCAGACTTACTGACTAGGGCTGGAAGTACTGCTTTAAATCTACAATCTGATACTTGGATGAAAGGAGGCTTTCTGAATGAAAACCCCAATAATTGGGAAATCAAGAGTTGTTCCAATTTATCCTCATCATCCTTATCAGCTACTGTCAAAGTTTTGAAGATAGCACCGCTCAACCCCGGCCAAGTTTATATTCTAGGCATGCTAGAAAAGTCTAAGAGTTACATAAAGGTTAAAAATGCTCTAAGGCTGTTAACAAAGTGGATTAGATCACATATTATTTTGACCAGACCTGTTGCTTCTTGGGATACAGCTGAATCCCATATTTCCAGAACAATTCTACAATGCTTCAAACCGGACAATGACAGGTTCTTAGCCAAGCATCCCTTAAAAAATCTTGTCAAAGTTTTACAGGAAGATGTTTGGCTTGTAGCAGACCGGAGCTTCAGATCCAGGATTGGAATCCCTCTTGTTTGCAAAGACTCTATATTAGCCACTTGCATAATAAAAGATGCTCATCAATCCCTAGGTCATGCTAGAGATTGGATCCAGGTGCAGAGTGCCATTGGCCTTGAATTCTACATACCTGGAGCCAAGAAACTTATTGATAAAGAACGTGATTCATGTGCAGGATGCACAAGATTAACACCACAACAGTTCACAGCATTTGAGTCCGATGTCAAGGACAACCTCAAAAAGATGAATGCTCCATTCACTTATTGCCAAGCTGACCTGTTTGGTCCAGAATATGTTTACAATGAAGAAGGCTCAGAGAAAAGGTGGGTTCTTGTTCTAATGTGCTTGACTTGCAGAGCAGTTCACCTTGAGATGTTAGAAAATTACTCAGCATCCAGCATCAACATGGCTTTAATCAGAGCATTCTCTACTAGAAGTCAACCTAGAGTTGTTTGGGTAGACGCAGGTCTTAATATTATCAGAGCTGGAAAAGATGTACAAGCATCAGAAGAAATACTCATTCCTAATCTTAACACCAAGTTTGCAGGTGTTGAATTCCGCACCACATTACCCAAACATCATGAAGCCATTGGTGCTGTTGAAAGAGTTATAGGAATAATTAAGAAGACCATTAGCAAGTCTCTAGCACCTCCAAGCAAAGTTCGGATGTCAGATGAAGAATTCAGAACATGGCTCAGCAAGGTCATGCAGAAGGTTAATGACCGCCCACTTATCCTGGGATTGCCAATTGGCGTTACACTTACTCCAAACCATGTTCTCCATGGATTTCCTGGAGATTTTCATGGTGAAGAGAAGTTCTCATTTCCAGTAAGTCAACAACTTCAAAGATGGAGAACAGCACTACAAGTGTTTGGAAATCTCTGGTGTGAGGAATATGCAAGAAGAAACTACCATGTTATATGGGCACATCAAGGAAAGGTTCCTAAGATCAATGATCTTGTGCTCATCAGGAATGAACCCAGATATGCACAACCTCACACTATTGCTCGGGTAGTCTCCTTGCTGACTAGACCAAATGGTGACATCTATGGTGCAAAGGTAGAATTTAGGAGACAGCTTCAAGGTCGAATGATCCAAGTAGAGCGTCATCTGCATCAACTTTCTCCCTTCATGGACATGGAACTAGAAAATGGCAGTGAAATTGTTCATGGATTATCTTCAGATGATGCTCAAGCAAACAACATTGGTCCCTTGCCTTTGGGACATTCAGATACTCTTCAAGATGAAATTCTGGATGAACAATAATTTATGCCTTAATATTTTAAACCTAATTTCCCTTAAAATTTTTCTTCTCAATTTAAAGGTCAAGGGGGTGGGGGAGGCAATGTTAAAATATTAAAGCAAAGGTCGTCCTACTCCAATCTTAACTACCTGGACCTTCCGGTGTATAGTTTATACTCAACATCCACTGTATGGGCATATAAGTTGCTATTAATGTTTACCATGTAATTTACCGTATTTTTTTATAGGTTTTAACATCGGAGAATAAATGTTTAAAACTTACTGAAATTCAACAATAGTATATATATATATATATTATACTAAACCAACTTTAAATAATCATTGTAATAGAAAACAGCTGTTGTCTATGTATTTAACAGTTACCTGATACATGCCCTTGTCTTCTTTTTTGACTGAGTCGATCCTTAAGACCTTGTCCGAGTGACCAATGTTAACTCCATCCTTGAGCCAGTACACTTGCTTAATTGGGTTCCCCTGCAAATACAAAAATGTTTATGATGTTGTAGTATTAGATTTTAAAATAAAATCAAAGCTCAACAACATTTCATCCCTAGCTGCATAAAAAAGCAGTAAAAAATAAGGAAAATAGGAGATCAATCAAATTTTTAAAAAAATAAATGTTAAGCAATGAAAGCAAGAAACTGTTGTTAAAAAAATCTATCATTATTCACTGGCAAAAATAATACAAAAACAAAGCATGGGCTTTTCCTTTAAATCTGTCAGTTCCAGAAAACTTAAGATACTAGGTATTTGATATACAATGACAAATCAAAGTAACTTTAACTTTTCTTAATTTAAATATAAATCAGTCTTTCAAGTTGAATAATACATTTCGTACTAAACTTAAAACAGTTTTCAGAAGGGCTTTCAGCATTTTTATATGAATTCATAACAAAGTTAGTACTTCATTGGTTAAGAAGATATTATCTGTTACATAGGATACAAAGTATAAAAGGGGAAACCAGAGGAGATGGGGGGGGGGGGGAGCACTTACCTTGTAGTTACACTTGAATGTAGCAGACCTTCCATAATCCACAACCTGTTGTTTTGGTTCTACCTCAGCAGAGAGAGGAGCTAAAAACAAAACAAAATATAAAAAAAAAGTTTTGCAGCCTTTTTTTAAAAATCCGCAACATTTTTTTCTTCTTTATTTTAAAATGTAAACAAAAAGAACATGTTCACAATTTAAATAGAAGATGGGCGCGAAGCGCCCTAAAAGTCTAGAAAGAAGGGCATGAAGCGCCTTGAATTTCTAGTTTTTTATATTTAATTATCATTTTAAAATTATCTATATTTGACTTTGTACAGCCTTGGAAATAATGATAAATCATCAAATGCAGGGAGAGAAATAAAAAGATCCTAAGAAACGCTTTATATTGTAACATTTTTGTAATTGTTGCAAAATATGTTTGTTATTTGTAAATACATAAAGCTTTAGAAATTCATTATTAAAAAAAAATTAGAATCAGCACATAGAATGTTTAAAAACGGAAAAAGTTAATATTTATCACATTTACATTTTTAGGAATTTCCAGGGTTCTAGGAACAATACGAAAATTAGTCTTCAATTTATTGATAATTAATTGATCATTTCTAATCTAAACAATTTCTCAGACCGATAATAAGAGATTTCTTCATTTATTTTACCATGTTTTGATGTTCATGCTAGTTTCTTGCTTATATAGTTGACTTTCTATTTATCTTACTTTCTTTTGCTCTTTACAACATGTTTTCTTTGATGTTACTTCAATGTTTATGTTTGTCGTGTTTGGGACATCATCATAATAATAATAATAATAAAATTTTAGTTTTTTATAATTTTTGTATAAATGTCCACTCATTGTATAATGTATGATGTGTTTTGAAATACTTTTTTTTATTCATGCTTCATCAATCCATCCATTAATTGATCTAATATCCATTCAATAATGTGTCCTTATTATTCATCCATTAATCTATCCTATTTCTGTGGTCCATCCATCTTTTTGTCCTATATAATATCCATAATTTTTCCGTACTAAATAAAACGTCATTCAAAGATATCTACCTATTGATCAATTGATCAATGATCACCTATAAACGTTTTTTCTTCTTCAAATTATTCAATGCTTAATTGTATTCCATTGTGTCTGTATATATGCATATCTATCTATCTATGTTTAACTAAGCAAGGTCTATTCCCAAGAGCGGGCAATACAAAACATATCTTTTTCTATTTTAATCATTACTATGTTAGCCTATTTTGTTTCCAAATCTAGGCATATTTCCCATTTCAGAAAATTCATTAAAAATTTTAAGGAAAATGATGAAAACAATTCAAAAAAATGACAATTTTTTACAGTTTTTGTATTTTACNTCTTGAAGATTATAAGCACTCTCACTCCCGCCAACTTTGTGCACTTAATATCTTTTACACAACTGCTCGTAAACAGCACTGTGTGTTTGTGTAAAACATATTGTGCTTATTAAAACTTAACATAAGGGCACGGGCAGTCGTAGTACTTTAGAATTTCCGAGCCAAGTCAACCTTTCCGGTCCCAGTTTGTACTGTACCTAGCTCTATAGACAGGACTAGCCGGTGCAACAATTTTGACGCGGTCAGACTTTATGCTACATATAGGCCGAATTTACATTTACTAAAGGGGCAGATTTGCGTGAGGGGTCTATATTGTCGAAAAGTTATTAATTAAAGAATTACTTATTTAAGAATTGTGTGTTCAAGAAGTATCTATCAAAAAAAGAAAAAAAAAGACAATTTTTTCCCTTATAATTTCATAAATCAAATCAATTCATTTAAAAGTAAATATACATGTATAAATAGTTTTCATACCCGGTCCAAGTATATGATATGTATTGTATGCTTATATATCTTATATAGATATATTTAGATAATGGGAAAAGCAAGAATATATGAATCCAAATGAAGAATACTAGATCCCATATCACAAGATGACTAAATTTAATCCTTAGAGTGAAGGGAAAAGTAGAGTGGGCGGATCTTAATAAACAACAAACATGAATATCAGACTGAACTCAAATATATATAATATGTGCAAGATTATATTTATAAATACTGTAACTTTAACTTATTGCATTTCGACTTCCCCTAACCTGCTCTCCCTTGCCACTTAATTAAGATAAATGTTTAGATCAACAAACGGAATGTTTTAACATACTTCTTCCTCTTTCAAATCCTAGTAATGGCTGTTTTTACAAGACGCTGTCAAAAGTACGTTTATAGGAGATTTTTTGTACATTTTACACATTTTCTGTGAGTAGGGACTGAGTTCTTTACACAATTCTGATCAGACTAATTAAAATATATTAACTTCTACTATTAAAATGAAATAATGGAACATTTTTTTTCATTCTTTTCTTTATTTAATTTCAAGATAATCTGGTATTTAAGTACAATTGCCACAAACAAAAAATTTATAATTCCTTTATCTTTGCAACCTGATGGTGAAAACTAATAATATTTCCAACTATTCAATCTAATTAATAATTTGAAATATCTAAGGTCTACGACATTAGGTTACAAAGATACCGGGATTTGAAAATCAGAGTTTGTGGCAAAGACTTAATTTCTTTATATTTTAAAAATTTACCCCCTCTTCCCTCTGCCAACCCAAGGGCATATGATAAATGTTATTCTCTTATTAGGGTGAACCTTTATTCCAAAAACAAATAATATTCTTCTCCAAAAAATATTTATTTTTTTCTTAACTTTAACACTAATTTTGTTGCTGCTTTTGATAAAATTTCATATAGAGGTAAAAATTTAAGTATATTATGAGGAAATAACCTGTAACAGTTAGAACAGTTTCCACACTCTCCCCTCCGACAGAGTTATTAACCATACACAGATACTTGCCACTATCCTCCACCTGGGCCTCTAGGATTATCAGGGTCCCTCCAACCTAGACATTCAAACATTTAGACATTTTATCGGGCTCAGACATTTATTTGAGCATAAACTCATTCATTCATCTTTCTTTTCATCTTTCCTTCATTCATCCTATTTTATATCTTTTTTTCATTAATTTTCATCGATCTTTTCATTCATTCTTTTCATCTTTCTTTTCATTCAATCAATTTCATTTATCTTTTCACTATTTCAATTTCATTTCATTTATTTCATTCAATTTCATTGATCTTTTCATTATTTCAATTTCATTTATCATTACATTCATTCAATTTCATCTATCTTTTCATTATTTTAATTTCATTCATCTTTACATTCATTCAATTTCATCTATCTTTTCATTTATCAAATTTCAATTTCATTCATCTTTACATTAAATTCAATTTCATCTATCTTTTCGTTCATCTAATTTTGACTATTTTTTCCTCCATTTAATTTCATTTTCATCTATCTTTGTATTCATTCAATTTTATCGATCTTTTCATTCATTCAATTTCATATATCTATACATTCATTTAATTTCATTGATCTTTTAATTCATTTTTTCATCTATCTTTGCTTTCATTCAATTTAATCTATCTTTACATTTATTAAATTTTATCTTTTTATTCATTCAATTTCATCTTTCTTTTCATTCATTCAATATAATTCATCGATCTTTTCATTCATTTCTGCCAAAGAAGATACATTAGTAACTTTCATATCTGTGTTTACAAAACAAGTGTACAGCGTTTTCTTGCGAGAATATAAACGAGGGAATTCAGTCTTTGTCACAACCTCAAATTTACTAATCCCTATATCTTTGCAACCTGATGATGTAAATGTTTGACATTTTAAACTTAGATTATTTAATCTAACAGAATTCACAGTTTGAAACATCTACAAGATAATGGGACTAGAAAATCAGAGTTTGTGATTTCAGACTCAATTTGTGTAGTGCTGCTCAGACTAGGATATGTTCATATTCCTCCCGGACACTGCAGTACACTATGTAAACAAACATATATAAACAATCTAATATTAATCCAAAGAAGAAACTTAAACTTTCTTGACCAAAAAAAATTGTATTTAAAATCTCTAATTAAATCATAATTTCTATTCTCCTCCAACTAGAAATTAAAAATAAAGATGGACTAGTGAGTAAATATTATATTTAAATAAAACTCTTTAAATATAAATCTGAGGTTAGGTCTCCGTACAAATCACTGCACAGACAACATTTATGTGCAATAATAAACATTGTGCTATCCCCTCCCTCACCGCCCTCGGCACACAGTATAAACAAATAACAAATTAACAGTTGATTACTATTTATTGCTGTTTTCCGTTCTCAGCGACTTCCAGCATAGAAGGATATACATATCAGGGTTAATCCTCTCTGAGTGAATTTAGGTCAGTTAATTTGCCAACTTCGAAGAGTTTTCCTTTACATGATTTCAAGTTACCAGAGCTAACTGAAGAGTTATTCACAATGATACCCTTCAAACCCTTGTCTGTTATCCTTGTTTTTTCCTCCAATTTTTGATTATTTTAAATTATAATCCTCTTTAAAAATATTAAAAAATTGGGGTTGGTTTAAAAGTGCAATAACTGCAATTCCAAGCACCTTATTCTGAAAAGAGCATTTTATCGTGTAGACAAAAGACAGTTTACAGCAGTACTTAGTTTGAACATTTCTTTAGCAAAAGATTTTTTTCATCGAAAATTTATTGTCCATTTAGAGATCAGGAATACTTCATAAATCATCTGTCAAGATTAAGATAGATTTTATTTATTTTGATGAATATTTTTCAAATCCGGTTCCTTTGCTCTGTTAGATTAGCACTAGGTCAGTTAGTATCGAGAATTTAGTGCAAAGGCCCCAATTATATAAAAAAAATGTTTGTAAATATAATAATATATAGATACCAACCTGTTTGACCCTGTCGTCTAGCTTGACTGGTTTCTTGATTGTTGTTCCCTCTTGGAATTTATACCATCTAAATACATTACATGGTTATACAATCAGTTCAAATATAGAGGAACAAAGAATTGAATCTCAGATAAAGCGATTGGTAAGATATTAAAACAAAAGAGTAGAAACCAATTAATACAAAGAGATTTTTTAAACAAAAACTAATAAGGGCATTTTCGGTTTTTTACTTGAATTGTAAAAGTTTTAGTTGTTAAAGGAATTGAGTTTTTGCCACAAACTTAAATCTTCTGATCCCAATATCTTTGCAACCTGATGGTGCAAACCTTTGATATTTCAAACTTAGCTTATTTTATCTTTAAGTATTAATAGTTTGAAATATCTAAGGTCTACGACATTGGGTTACAAAGATATAGAGATTAGAAAATCAGAGTTTGTGGCAAAAACTCAATTCCTTTACTTGCAAAAAAGCGGAGATTCAGGAATTGGTTGATTTATTAAGTTTTTCAAATTCTTTCTTCCTCGATGAGAAAATGAGTGACAAGAAGACAGACTTGAAAACAGATTTTTAAGAGAAAAGACTGCCAAAAGATAAACTCTGTCCATTTTGGTTTTAAGACATAAAAATTTAAGAACATAAAATGTTTTGAAAAAAGTTCCATAAAATATGTAAAAAATAAGAGAGAGATTTTAGATAGTTGTAAAGACTTGAAACATCGTATTTTTTCTCCTTTCAAAGAACAGTTCAAGTTTAAAGGGAGTGTTCGCGAAAAATGAAAGGGGGTATAGGCTTAATGCTATAAAAAAGCGCTTTTGATCGCTACTAATCTTACTTCTATCTGTTGCGTCTATAAGGAGAAAATTGTTAAAGATGTCTCATACCGAATAACTTAGCGCCCAAACAAATTCAGAAAATTGCAACATATGACTTAGACCGTAAAAAATCAATTTAATTTTATTACAACCTATAGTCATCGATTATTTTTCGCACATTTGTATATAGTGTATATTTTAAAATATTTTTAAATTAATTTTTTTGAATTTGATTATTTCTCTTGTCGCTTGCGCAACTATCTAAGAATGCCGCGCACCACTCACATTTTTCGAAATCCGTTAAAACGTTTTCTAAAAAAAAAATCAAATATTATAAAATATAAACTATATACAAATGTGGCGAAAGATAATCGATGACTATAGGTTGTAATATCTGAATGATATGTTTGAAATTAAATTGATTTTTTACGGTCTAAGTTGTATGTTGCAATTTTCTGAATTTGTATGGGCGCTAAGTTATTCTTTATGCGACGTCTTTAACAATTTTCTCCTTATAGACGCAACAGATAGAAGTAAAATTAGTAGCGATTAAAAGCGCTTTTTAATCGCATTAAGCCTATACCCCCTTTCATTTTTCGCGAACACTCCCTTTAAGAAATTAAGTTATTTTTGACTGACATAACAAAAGAAAATGTAGGATGCAATGACTGAGGAATATGCCGGGAAAATATTCTGCATTTCCGTATTCTAGACTGCACAACAGCTTGGATGCATATTCTGTGACAGCTGGCAGGATAATTGTCGAGTAAGGTTTTACTATTAGAAATAGTAAAATGAACAGCTGATCCTCTCACAGCCTCCGTAACTTTAATTCAAGAACACACGTACACACACTCTCGCAAACATTGCACTACCGAGACACACTAAACAAGTGCGTACAGGACGCAGAAACATAAAATTTCCTCTCTTGACAGAGTCAATTAACGCTTCCCTTCTCAAGAGTTATTACAACTTGATATAGTTGCTCTCTGCCCAAACATACCTTATTATAATCAGGTGGACTGTGAACTGTATTAACTAGGAAACCAAAAATATACCAATTCACATTGAATTTCTTAAAGGGACGGTTAACGTAATTTCAAGTTAACCCTCATGCAATTAAAGATTTCCATGTCTGAAAGCTTAGAAAACTAGTCCAAATTTTAAAGTTGTTTTTTTTCTTCTTAAAACAGTGTAAATTCTGTTAATATCTGTATTTGTTTCTGGTGCATAAATCCGCAAGTTACTTTCATGGAGAAACCACGATTTTAAGTTAATTTTCAGCAAGAAAAACCTGAATAATTTACATCTTCACTCTACAGTCTCTTTAGAACTCGTTTTCCTGTTTTTCAAAAACTGAAATCTAAGGAGCACCTGAATACTGGGCTAGGGAATCCTTGGCCTTCGCACAAAAGTCCAGCTTTGCTGGTTGCCACAGCAGACTTTCTTATTAAATTCTGATCCAGGACTTTTGGAGCACTGCTTCCAATTGGTTCTGTGAAATATGATCTTTTTAAAATAATGTACAGTCAGAACCAGATTGTTTCAGAATAAATGTTTATGATTCACTTTTTCGCCAATAAAACAGACAATAAAAAGCATAATGTTTGTTGATCTCAAAAATCTTAAAAACTTATAAGGCCCATACTTTTTATTATTTTTTATTATTATCATAAATGTTATTATTCTGAAAAGTGTCTGTCCTAAAAGTACAAACTTACAAGGATGGACATCCCCATACACTGAGCTGTATCAAAATACTGAACCTGTAGTGAGGGGTTGGATAACCTTGGCCTTCACAAGTTAGTCCAATATCTACACCAGCCAATGAAAGTTTCATTTTGATGTCTTTATTCTGTACATTTGGTACACTACTCCCAACAGGGTCTAAACCAATAAATAAATGTATGGTACAAATGAATGTATCATTAATTAGGGCTGGGCTCCTGAGCTTAATCATTAATTCAAAGAAAGTGAAACGCTCAAAGATGTCCATATTGATCCCTGCAACTGAAGCAATGTGTTCAAACCTGAATGCTGGCAAAGGATAAGCCTGCGCAGGACACAATTGGGAAACTACATCTCCTTTTGATCGCACGAAAATGCTTCCTTTAGATTCAGATGAAAATTTTGGTGGGGATCCACCATACGGTTCTGAAATTTACAATTTACCTGAATTCAGGAATTGGAAAGGATTGGGCTGGACAAAGAAGCGAAATTGCACTTAAAGATTGAACAATTCTGAACAATTTAGACTCTGAGGATAGTTTGGGTGCAGATCCTCCAATGGGTTCTAAATTATTGTAAAAGTTCGATCAAAATGCAATTAAATAAAGGTATAACCCTTGAGCTGCAAATTGTACCTAAAGCTTGGAACTGGAAACGCTTGGGCTAAACAAAGCATTGCAAATGGATGATTCATGCCATAGAAGAATGTGTCACTTTTATCATCGTTTGAAAATTTGGGAACCGAACTTCCAATGGGTTCTAAAACAAAAACCTTTAGACCCCTAAGATTTACAACACTGACATGACCACCATTTGAGCTGTTTTTACTACCTGAAGTTGGGATATGGAAAAGCTTGTGCATTGCATAATATGCTTATATCATGGAAAAGTTTACGAACATAAGTTGCACTTTTTTCATCATTTCCAAACTTTGGACTAGAACTCCCGATAGGCTCTGAAAAATTGTGATTACCTGAAAAATGGCAATGGAAAAGACTGTGCACTACACAGAAGAGCAATCTGATGTAGTGACTTATAGCTAAAGGTAGCACTTTTATCATCATTTGCAAACTTTGGACTTGAACTTCCAATGGGTTCTGCAACAAATGTTTGAATAATGACAAAGGCAAAATATCTACCTAAAGCTTGGTATGGGAAACCCTTGAGCTGCGCATAACAGACCAATACTGGACAAAACTTGTGTCATGATATTCTTTGTATCATCATCTGTAAACTTTGGTTTAGATCCGCCCAAAGGGTCTAAAATTCAAAAATCTCATTACCTAAAGCTAGGTTTAGGGGCCCCTTGAGCTGAACAAGTCATAGCCAAAGAAGAAAGAACCATTGATAGTATGTTTTCTGTGGCTCCAGAAGAAAATTTAGGAGCTGATCCTCCAACTGGCTCTAATCAATTACTTATTTAATCCAACTAGACAATCAAAAAGATGGGGCCCAAACTTTGGTGCTAAATCACCTGAAAGAAGGAAGTGGAAAAGCTTGAGCTGGACAGTTAAGACTTAGTGGTTGCAAATCTTTGCTTCTATGTGAGCTTATCTCAGAAATACTTGGAAACTTAGGACCAGATAATCCAATAGGTTCTAAAACATCATCTCATAAACTACAATACCTAAAGAGTGGTTTTGGTGACCCTTGAGCTGGGCAGTTAAGATTGTAAGATGTCAAGGTTTCTATTAGAAAAGACCCCAAAATTGCAGATGAAGAGGAAAACTTAGGTGCAGATGATCCGACTGGTTCTAGATTATACAAATTCAATACCTAGTCATTGGTGCAGGAGACCCTTGAGCTGGACAGTTAAGATTGTATCTGGATGAGGCTTTGATATCAAAGTTCCCCAAAGTATTTGACTCAGATGGAAACTTTGGAGCACTGGATCCAACAGGTTCTAGATCATTAGTGAAGCTTATGCACATAGATCTAAGCCATGATGGGAGCCCCTTTGTTACATTAATAATAAAGTGGAGAAAAATTTGAGCTGGACACCAGTAAGTTCACAGTTAAGGGGATGATTACAAACTCATCTATTACCAGGAGATCTATCCTACAGGTTTTAAAAGATGACTTCTCATACCAGACATTTTACCTAGTAACTGGTACTGGAAATCCTTGTGCTGGACATGCTAGAGATAGTGATTTTTGGGATTTTTCAATAAATCCAGAAGTAACTGAACTTGATGAAAACTTAGGAGCAGATGAACCAATAGGATCTGAGAAGATAAAATAGTAAATATCACAAATGGGAAAAAGAGCACTCCTTGAGCTATTTAAAATGATGTTATTACCGAAACATTGGCAGAGGAAATGCTTGTGCTGAACATGTAAGTGCTATCTTGTCACTGTACTTCCTAGTTGTAGATGACGAGTCAATATCAGAACTGAACTTAGGCTTAGACCCTCCAATCGGTTCTGGAGAAAAAAATGAGTTTAATACAAACCTAAATCCTGGCAGGGGATACCCTTGAGCTGGGCATGTTAATGCAATTGAACTCATGAATCCTCGAACAAGCTTTGAACCATCATTTTCTGTTGAGAATTTAGGAATTGAACCTCCAATTGGTTCTGAATAAGGGTTCAGTATGAGTTGTAGTGAGTAATGCAATGAAAGGAAGGGAGACCTTGAGCTGAAAAGATCATTTAATCCTTCTTAAAATGAGACTATACCTGGTAACTGGTATAGGATAAGCCTGTGCAGGACATGTAAGCCCAATATTTTTGTTCATTGAAAGTTTTATATTAAGCCCATCTGTGTTAGACATAAACTTAGGACTACTGCTTGCCATTGGTTCTAAAAAATAAGATCAGATGACAGCAAGATAATAATGAATATGGGCACCCCAAAACACACCTGAAACTTGGAAGGGGGGATGCTTGTGCTGGACATGTAAGTCTTAGTGGATTGCCTTCTTTATGAGTAAGTCTTGAAAGATCTGTTTCAGATGGAAATTTTGGAGCTGATCCTCCAACAGGTTCTGAATTATAATCAGATTCAAGAACATCCTTTAAAAATGCTGGAGTAAAAGAACCTTGAGCTGGCAAAATTAGTACTGGTTAACTGGGAATTCAGAAACATCCTAATAAGTTCTAAAATATTGATTGCACAGACCAGAAAATGTAACTTTCATTCCTTAGAAGACTACCTGAATGTTGGAATAGGAAATCCTTGAACAGGACATAAAAGGTTAGATGTTAGTCCTTGATGAGACATGACTGATGGAGGAGTCAAGCTTGCAAGTTTAGGAACAGACCCACTTATTGGCTCTTAAAAATTGAATTTGCTTAGACTAACCTAAATACTGGAGTGGGAGACCCTTGGGCAGGACAAAGTAGGTTTCCTGTAATTCTGGCTTGGAGACTTTGCTCATGAGATGTTACTACAGAAAACTTAGGTGCAGATGATCCGACCGGATCTAAAAAGAGCTTGATAAGCACCTGTAAGATGGTACTGGGGAGCCTTGAGCAGGACAAGCTAATGCCAATTCTTTTCCAACTTCTCGAACCAAGCTTGTAATCTTAGTTTCCAGTGAAAACTTTGGGGCGGAACCACTGATAGGTTCTGGAAAATAAAATTCCTAATTAAATATTCCTCAAATGAACCTACCTTCACAGTAAAAACCAAAAAATACAATTGAATAAACTTAAATGTCCAGTCCAAGGTTTCCAAAAATTTTAATTTAAAAATAACAGCTCAAGGGGCGCCCATCCCAGCATTACATTTAAAAATTGGTTGCCAAATCAAATGCGTTATATCTTATCATTACTTGATTGGGCAACCAACAAACATATCATACATATATAAATTCATATCAAATATCTATTAAAAATATATTTTAAAACTTGGGATTGGGAATTTAAATTACCTATAATTTATTGCAACAAGCTTTAAAATATAAATCCATAAAGAATTTGCAGAGTAATATTCTCATATGAATATCAAATTTCTCTTGCTAATGTTAAGTTTATCAGAGGTAAGAATGAGGATTTTTTCAGGATCTTAAGTCTCTGCATATTCTTGTACATAAAACAAGTATTCCTTTTAATGTCAGAACAAAATTATTCTGAATAAGTTCAGTTCTTTTTTGAAAACTAATAAACAGTTTTAAAAGAAAACAAATGACGGAAAAATTACCCTCTAATGATTATCAATTTTTAGATGAAAAAGATAAGTAATCTCATTGTCAACAAAAGTTTAGAGGGTAAATTTTAGAAGACCCTATTCCGTTTTTAATAAAGGTTGATATTGAAATCCCTGTTATATTTTGCAATAAAAGGAAGAGTTGTTAGAAAAATATTATAGCGTATTGATTCAAAATATTAACACTGGTGACCAGAACTTAGTGAAATGATTTCTTTTTTTCTTTTTATATTGAAATAACAATAAGGATTTCGTAATTTGCCACTGATATTTTTCTAAAATATGCCCTGAAAATGCTTAAGAAAGTTTATCATCTTCAACCATTACATTTTACAAAATCCTCCGCGCTATTTATCAATTAAAAGGAAGAAAGAAGACAACAATCATTCCAGAGTTTTCTGATCACAACCATACCACAGAAAGTGCTCACCAAATACAATGAGTCCCAGTAAACATGAAATTAAATAAACTTGACTTGTCAAAAATACAAAAAAGTTGAAAAACTAAACAATCCAGAACAGAATTATGGTTTTAAAATTTTCATTATGTATTGCGCAATGTATCTCCATTCATCATTGCTTTACAACAAGTGATATTTCTCATCATGTTTAGTGGAACTTTCTGATATTCAGACTTTGTTTTTAACCGAATATATCCATATACAGTACAAATTTTTTTAAAATAAAATTCAAAATAAATGTACTGAACTTGAAATAAAGAAATATAATAACTTTCACAGGGGTGTCTGTCTTCCTTCTAAAGGGGTGTGGGAGTAGACAAATTAATTATCAGAAGAGAAAATTCAGTTTTTTCATTTAATATTATCTCTTTTAATTTTTGTTAATGAGAGAAATTAGACACAGGTAAAGATTGGGGGTCTGAGGGGGTGGGGGTCGGAATTTAAAGCCTACATAAATAATAATACACCCCTGGAAAATACTTAATTTCTTGACCTTACAAACAAATCAAGGTATCATTAGTTCCCAGTAAAATTACGAAATCAAACTTACATGTTATTATTATTATATTGATTAATAAATTCATTTTGCGGAGAACATAATGAACATACTTTTCCCGAAATCATTTTCCCAAATAAAATCTTTCCCAAGTTGAAACCTCACATATGTACAATTTCCCAAATTACAACTTTCCAAATGTATACTTTCCAATCCTAGGTTCAGCTGTTGTTGATATACTCAATTTTAACTACCAAAAATAAGACTGGGAAAAGGCCACATTAATAAAGGGGATTTGGGAAAATGAAATTAGGGAATAAGTCTCTTGGGAAGTTGATTTTGGGAATGTCGTACACTCTTTAACACATGTATAATTGATAATTCATTTAATTACAGGGCTGCACAAAATACACTATAATACAAGCTTTACTCAAGTATTTTTATAGTGACCAATAAAATATTTTCTTATCATTATAAATACTTTGCAAGAATAAAATATGATTCAAGTCCAAATTAAATCAGAAGAGGGAGGGGGGGGGGTATTATCACAGGTACAAGAGAATAATATTTTAAACTATACAAACCACATGAAATATAGGGTTTCCAACGCAAGTGAATTGCGAGCCCTGTAAACTCCGCACAATTACGAGCAATTCCGATTGGAAACCCTAATGAAAAATGATACAGTGATACCAGAAAACAATGGAATAGCAAGACGACATTATAGCAATATTCCAGTGTATTTATTATTTAATGTTGTTACAAAGCAAATAATTTTACTAGACACTTATCAAATTATAAATTAAGTAAATTGGATCTGTGAACACTGCACAATTACTGTATCTCATGCTCATTTGACTTTTTGATGTTATAACTTGATTCCAAAAGTCGTTTTCCTATTTCAGAGTTTTCTGGTTATTACTGTATGTCAGTGTAATTTAATGAATTTAAAATAAATATATGTATGTGTATGAATTAAAGATATAACAATTTACATGTTGTACAGTGCTTGTGCAACCCTGTATAAAACTAATATATAAAATATATAATATCTATCTAACTAGCTATACCTGTTATAACAAGTCGACCGGCAGTTGCGCTTAACTTAGTTTCTCCTAAAATAAGCATATCATTAGTCGCGATTTTAAATAATTCTTAATTCTTCGCTCTACCTGTAAACACTAAGATACATATCCAAGTATGTCTGTAAACACTAAGATATTTGTCCAAGTATATCTGTAAACACTAACATATATATCTAGGTATATCTGTAAACACTAAGATATATATCCTAGTATACCTATAAACACTAAGATATATTTCTAGGTATATCTGTAAACACTAAGATATATATCTCTAGGTATATCTGTAAACACTAAGATATATATCCTAGTATACCTATAAACACTAAGATATATATCTAGGTATATCTGTAAACACTAAGATATATACTAGGTATACCTGTAAACACTAAGATATATATCTAGGTATACCTGTAAACACTAAGATATTTGTCCAAGTATACATGTAAACACTTAGATATATATCTAGGTATATCTGTAAACACTAAGATATATAAATATATATATAAGTATATCTTTAAACACTAAGATATATCTCTAGGTATACCTTTAAACACTAGGATATAAATCCAAGTATATCTGCGTATATTAAGATTTATATCCAAGTATACCTGTAAACAATAAGATATATATCCAAGTATACCTGTGTAAACTAAGATTTATATCTAAGTATACCTTTAAACACTAAGATTTATATCAAAGTATACCTGTAAACACTAAGATATATATCTAGGTATACCTTTAAACACTAAGATATATATATATAAGTATATCTGTAAACACTAAGATATATCTCTAGGTATATCTATAAACATTAAGATATATATCCAAATATACCTGTAAACACTTATAAATATATCCAAGTATATCTATAAAGATTAATATATATATATATAAATAAATAAACCTGTAGGCTGTAAAACCTAATATATACATCCTAGTATACCTATAAAATAAACACTAAGATACATATCCTGGAATACCTGTAAACACTAAGATATATATCCTAGTATACCTATAAACAGTAAGATATATATCGAAGTATACCTGTAAGCCTGTGTTTAGTTCTACACTTGTAAGTCTTGAATCCATCCTCTGCAGTTACATTTCTTATCTGTAGTTCTCCAGAGGGAAGAACAACATACTTTCCATCTAAATAGTAGACAGGGTTAATACAGGGGGAGAGAAGACAGACTTGGGTTTGCAGCCGGGGGGTGAAGTGGGTTATATAATTCTTTTTAACGACATTCTTTATCATTTTTCAAAATTCTTTTTATAAACTTTGTTTTGTCTTTCGTTGTTGACTGCAGTTTTAGTTTTTAAATTAAATCTTTAAAACAAAGAAAAAGTTTTATAAGTAAGAAAATGTTTTTTAAACAATAAGGTGGGGGGCTGCAAACCCTGTCTATCTATGTGGAAACCCAACAGTGCGATTATCCTAAAAATGCTGGAGAAAAAATAAAATTCTGTCTGAATATACATATTAAGCATTGAAAGGATAGACGCAGAAAGGTTTATATTATAAGTTTTTAAATTAATATATTAAAAGATCAGCAGTTAATGAATCCAAAATAGCTAAAAATAAATAAAAAAAATTGAATGCTGAGCTTACTTTTTCCAGTAAATACTATGCAATAAAATTAGTTTTTAAAGAGACTCTGGAAATGCTGATCTTTGCCTTAAAACTAAACACAAATATATCAAGCTTTTGAAATGGTAAATTTTTGCAAAAAAGTTGTTTTGAGTAAAAAAAAACTTGCAAGTAAACTTGATATGTAAATAATTATACAAGAGGCGAAAAACTCCAATATAGGCAGTATTTATATTTATTTATGTTTAAGATTAATTTTCATATATTGAAATGAGATATGTGTTGTATGTACAAATCCTATATTGAGAGCAGTGCTGTTAGTTGTTTAGCATATGTTTATGTGAAGATCTATCAAACTATAACTCTCGCATTTACACAGGGTGCTCCAAAACACACCCATTTTATTCTCACTTTGTTTTGTTTCATGCCTAATTTCACAGGCTGTTTACATCACAACCTCGCAGTACACGACAGGACTTTTAAAACAGACCGGACAATTTTAACATTAGAAAAATCTTTAAAAGTTTTGATTTTTTTTGTTCCACAGAATTTTGTATTTCAGAAACTTTTCAGAGTTTTCTCTTGTTAGAAGTTATGAATAAATACCATAATTATCTCTAGTATATTCATATTGATCTGGTGGATCTAAGACGACCCAGGAATGGACAAAGACAAAACTTGTGAACGGAACATCGCATTTGAGCAGGACAGTGTTGCCGAGCAGACCAAAGTTATCACGGACAAATATCTCGTAGGACTTCATCACAGCTGAAAAAAAGTGGGAAAAATAAACTTCATGAATTGCATTTTCTCCTTTGCATTTACTTGAGCAGTTTCCTGAAATAGTCCTTAAAAATTGTGAAATGGGATTAACAGGACCTGAGAGAGCATTCTTGTCGATATTAACTCCCTCATTGGTCACCCAGGAAGTGATGGTGAGGAACTCAGCGTTATGACTAGGTAAGCTGCAGCTCAAGATAGCCTCGTTACTGCTGATCACAAACACATCCCCAACCCTTGTCTCATACTGCTGCAATACAGCTGAAAATTAACAGATTTAGCACAACAAATCTTGTGACCAAAACTCCTCTAAAATTATGTCTGGTGGTGTCAGGAAATATTAACTTTCTCACGCAATCGCCTAAAAAAGCCGCAACTAAATGTTCCTTCCTAAAAGCAAGTTGAAACATATGTTAGACATATTTAATGACGGCTGTATTTACCATTGCCATTGATAAACTCTGTGCCAGTACTGTCCACCCAGCCAACACTAACCACGAGGTCGGTAACAAAGCTTGGGATTTTACAGCTCAGAATAACATCATTCCCAAGGATAACATGTTCGTTATGCACCTCTGCAGTATAGGTTTGGGAAACCACTAAATAAAATATCAGCTAAATATTTACAGTTTACGCTTATATAATCCCTAAATTCTAAATATTTTGATGATTGAAGATCTACTCCTTCATCTGTAAACATGAAAGTAATCAATTATTCTACATTTCTCAGCAAAAAGATATAATTATACCCCTCTCAATCACACCAGTAGTGAAGAGGATACTAATAATATCACTTAAGTTTTCATTGTTCATGCAAAAAATGTTATAAGAAACATAATTTAATCTCTTGTGTTTGATTCATGTGTTCTCTAGAACAATAAAGGAAAAGGGTGAAAATAACAAATGAATAAATATTAGAAAAAAATGAATGATGTGAAGCGTTATCAAAACTCTTTTTGATAGATAGATAGATAAAATTATATGTTTTAAACCAAACAGGATATCATTTGTAAGGTTCATCATTACAGTGTTTTTATCACAAGGTGCTCACACCCCCCCCCCCCCCCCCAATAGAAAACATTTGTTTCAAATTTTGACATTATACTTAAAAATATTTCAAAAATATTTTTCAATAACAGGATTTTCAAAAGTTCATGGTTTTCAATAGGACTTGCACACAAACACAAATCTGATGATTTCATAAAATATATTGACCAGAAAAAATCTCCATAACTATAGATAGATTTTTTTAATATACTCCTCTAAAAATTAGAAAAAATTACTTTTGTTAGGAAATAAAAGATACTAATTAAATACTCTGTGTTTTGTTTTCTCAATTTACCATGATTTATTTCAGCAAAATACTCATTCCCCTCGGAATCAACCCAGGAGGAGATTGCAACAAAATCAGAGACAAAACTCGGAATATTACACTTGAAAATTGCATCATTCCCAGAAATAATCTCCTCTGGTGCACAGTATGCATTGTACTGTTGACCAGCCACTAAAAAGATAAAATCAATAAAAAACTTGAACCAAAAAAGTTTCCCTTTTTAACCTGAAACATGTTGCAAACAATGTTAGACTCAAACTACTGTTTAAAGAAAAAAGCCAAAAGTTTTCTTCGAAAACTTGTGACTTTTTCCAATACAAGTTTCAACTTTTTACCATTATTATTTGCATAGAATATTTGGTTCTCACTATCCAACCAACTATCTATGGTCACAAAGTCTGACACAAAACTGGGAATTTTGCATTTTAAAATTGCATCATTCCCAAGTATAACATATTCACGGGAAACATCCGTCTCGTAAAGCTGGGAAACCGCTGAAAAAAAAACATGGTGGTAATCCTTACAGAGAACTAGGAAATTTACCAAAATGATTTCCCGGCAGGAATTCTACTCCTTCCGAGCTAGTCCAGCCAACAACTTGGAGAAAATCCGCGGCAAAGGAAGGAATACTGCACTTGAGGAATCCTGAGTTACCGACAATAACAGATTCCTCAGGCACTGTCACTCTGTATTCCTGACTAGCAACTGAAATGTTTAAATATCTTCATTTGTAGTAAAGAGGTACTTTTTGTACATTGTACTGCACATTATCCAATATTAAAATATTGTACGAACGAACTAATAATATTCCATATCTGTACAATAGGGTTATAAAAATTCTTAATCTTTTCATGTTGAAGGAAGCATAACTAACAAGCGGTTAGGTATGCTTACTTAAAAGATAGAAAAATATCTAAGCGGAACTAAGGGCCCGGAAATTACCATAATTGGACCCGGAATGAAACTCAAGCCCTTCCGAATCCTGCCAGCTTTGCACTGAGACAAAATCCGCAACAAAACTTGGGATATTACACTTCATGATAACATCATTCCCAACTATAACATACTCCTCATTCCCACTTGTCTTATACATCTGACTAGCAACTAAAAAGAGGTAAATATTTAAATTTCAAGATTTTGCTGTGTTGTTAAATTCCAGGCTATTTGCTCAATATTCCATCCTGAGTGTTAATAATGTTAAAAATAAAAAGTTACAAACAATAAAGAACACTAGTTGACGTCATGGAACAGTACATGTGGACTGTGGAACAGTACACCATGCAACAATTACCCAAATTGTTCCTGTAATACACGTTCCAAGAAGAACTCTCCTCCCAGGAAAGCAGGGTTAAAAAATCCCCTAAATAGTCTGGAACACGACACTTAAGGAAAGCATCGTTCCCAAGTACAATATATTCCTTGTATACGTCCACCTCATACTGTTCCACATCTAAAACTAGAATACAAAATAAAACTTCTGTAAAACATATGCTAAAAACAACAGCCAAGGTAACCTCTGCTAGACAAACTTAACCCTTAAATTACCATAATGATTATTAATGAGGAACTCTGAAGCCTCGCTATCAACCCAACCAACTATCTGGGCTAGATCGGAAACATAGCTTGGTATCTTGCATTTAACCAATGCATCATTTCCGAGCACAATATATTCATTGGAAGGTTCTGTAGTATACTCTTGTGTAACCACTGAAACAGTTTTGACATTTTAAAAACTTCATCTTAACGGATCATTGGTATTTTTTGCCATTTATATGCTTTATGCCTGACAATACGAAATTGAATTTGAATTTCTGGGAACCTAGACCTAGTCAGCCATAAACCTTAGTTATACTTCACTTCATTCATGAATTTATTCAAGATTTTCAGCCCAACCACAGTTGTGAACATTGAAATTTAGAAAAAGAAACTTAGTTTTTGCCACAAACTCAAATTATGTAATCCCTATATCTTTGCATACAAAAGGTGTTAACGTAGATTATTTGATCTAACCGAATTCACAGTTTAAAATATCTTAAGTCTACGACATTGGGTTGCAAAGATATAGGGTTTAGAAAATCAGAGATTGTGGTAAAAACTCAATTCCTTTGGATCTTACTGATAAATAAAGTTTAATATAGTTTTCCATAGTTTTAGAAAAACACAGACAATAACAAATATTTTCCTAAATTAGTTATTTAAAAAAAAATGATAAAAAGGCTTTAATGGAGTTTATAGCAAAGTTAATATAGAATTTGTAATTCAAAAACAGTTGTTTTTCGCCCCGTTGTATAGTTTTAGTGCACCTGCACACAGAGCTAAATACAACAATAGATCATAAACTCATTTACAAGTTTATTACCAAACTGTGTTCTACCCAGCCCCGCCCCTAGCTCCACCCCCTCGGAATCTACCCAGCCCTGGACCTCCAGCATGTCCCCGACATGACTGGGGACCACACACCCCACCAGGGCGTCATTGTTGAGCAGTATGTTGGTCTTGAACACGTCCAGTTCATAATCCTGGCTTACAACTGAAATCAAAATATTTGAATAGTTTCCCTTGAACATTTCTCCTCCAGTCTCTATCAAACAAAACCATGTCTTCACTGAATCCTTAAAACAGAAAGCTTAAAACTGAATCTTTAAAACTTATAACTGAACCCTTTAATCTGGAAACTGTGACCTTGATTGAAAATAACTGAGTCCTTCAAACTTATATCTGAAAACTGTAACCTTTATCCTGAAAACTGAAACCTTAAAACTGAAAAACGAATTCTTAAATGTGGAAACTGAAATCTGATTCTTTAGCTTAAAAACTATATCCTGAACCAAGAACTGGATCATCCACACACAATTCTGAACCTGCTTTAATAGCAGCCCTACTCTTTTTTTATTGTTCAAAAATGGAAAATGCTACCCTTAGGACACGACTATAGGAAATAAAAATGCAATGCACAATTGTACATAATGTATGTATTATTCATACATGTATTGCATACTTGTGAATTAGTGTAGAAAGACAAAGGGATTTAAGAAATAACGTGACTCCAGGAATCTGAGTTTAAGAAACTGTAAACTGAACAGGGAAACTTCTTAACATTTTATCAAACTATTTTTTAATATAATCAATCAGTTTACATCATTTATTAAGTAAAAACTTTGAGTTTTTGTGAGAAAGGTTTTACCCTGGAGTGGGTTTAATTGTGTTGGGTAAGGTTGCAAGATCCTAGGGTTTTTGCTGAGGATGTCACAGGGTATACTTTATACTATATGCTCATCAAACATCAGGAAACTGGGTTCAAATATCACACGATGGGGTTGGAGTAAGAGGGGGGCACCTAGTGTGTTCTAGTAATGAGTCTTTACTTTCCAAAAAACATAATATAATTTCTCAAAAATACCGGCAATTCCTTAACCTTTCACAAAGTGGATTGAGTAGGGGGGGGCGGGGGGGCAAAATCCACATTTATTTTATGTTAAAACCTATTTTTATTTATCAAACAGCTTTTAATCCAGACAAGATTTCAGACAGATCCCCCCCCTGCTCCCCTAATCCCTGTTTTTACTCCCTACTCCCCCACAGATAGACATTAAACAGACCTGGATAGTGGTAAGTACCTTCTATTCTAGATTACTAGTAGAGTTTAATGATAACACTCAAACTCTAAATTTTGAATGCTTATTTCCCTTCAACCTGATGGTGTACATCTTTGCTATTTCAAACTATTTGATCTATCACTATTCCCAGTTTGAAATATCAAAGGTTTACGACATCTAGTTGCAAAGATTTAAGGGATTATAAAATCAGAGTATGAAGAAAAAGTTCAGTTCCTTTAAAGAATTATTTTGTGTTTAGGACAAGCCATCAAATAATTAAAATGTCGCTAAAAGAACTGAATACTTGTCTCCTATAATTTTCTAATCCTTAAATCTTTGCAAACTTTTGTTATTTCAAACTAATAAATTTTGATAGATCAAATATCTAAAGTTTATCAGGTTGCAAAAATATATAGATTTTAAAGTTAGAGTTTTAAGCAACTTTTTATTTTCTTTATCAACAAATAAGTTTTAGACTTCTATATTATTAAAAACTAACAGCACTGTAGAAAAATCAATGAACAAATTGAATTTTGTTCGTGGATTTTTATAGTTTAACTATTCCAGACGTGAACTCTCAAATTACCATTTAATCCCCGATTCCCCAATTCATTTCCTTCCGAATCCACCCATGAGACAATGGAAACAAAATCCGCAACAAAACTGGGAATCGAACATTTGAGAATTCCATCATTCCCAACTATGATGCTTTCGGGTAAAATGTGCGCTTCATAATGCTGTTTGGTCACTGAAAAAGTGGAAATAAAAACCTAATAAATAATAAAAGTAAGATGAAACCTTTTCCATTTTATTTTCAAATGGAAAAGCTTTCATGGTCTTAGAACGTATTCCATAACTGTAAAATTACCCCAGGCACCGCTGGAAAAACTGGTTCCCTCTGAATCCTCCCAAGAAGGAACAGACACAAAATCAGACACAAACGAAGGAATTGAGCATTTAAACAATGCGTCATTCCCAACAATTACGCTTTCTCTGAGTATATCAACCTCATATCTCTGCGCTGTCACTGAAAACGAGAAAACTATGTCATGTCTCTTAAATCTAGAAGATCTAGGAGACGGATGGGCATGCAAGGAATTACCATTATGGGTTCCTAACTCGTTCCCTTCTGAATCAAACCAGCCGGATATGATCAGGAACTCGGAAAGAAAGCTTGGAACAGTGCACTTAAAAAGTGCATCGTTCCCCAGGATAACAGTCACAAGGAATGTATGACTGTCATAAGTTTGTGATGTAACTAAACAAAAATTAGAGTACAATCAAACTAAAACAGGAGATCTATTTGCAAAATCTTTGTTTTTCTCTCTCTAAAAGAAAGATTTTGCAAAAATTAGGTTCCTTCTTCTGAGCATTAATTACCATAGCTACGTCTATCAAAGACAATCCCCGTACTGTCCACCCAATCAACGACAGATAAAATGTCGGACATAAAACTTGGAATCTGACATTCCATGAGAGCCTCGTTTCCTAGGATAACGTCCTCGGCTTCCACCCTGGTCCTGTACTCCTGATGTACAACTAAAAAGCATTAGTCCTTAAATCTACATAATTTGGGGGATATCCTTAAATCTACAAAAAGATTGGGCGGTTAATTACCAAAACTAAGTTTATTCAGCTGATCTCCCTCGCTGCTCTCCCAGCTAATTATGTCTTTAAGTGACACCAATGGAAAATGTGCCAAATATCAAGAGAGAAAAGAATATTAAGTAAAGTAAGTAGACATTTATTTTCAGATTGAATAAAGATGTGAATCGGGAATGCCCCTCTTTTAAAAATAGAAGGTGACTTAAAACTACGAAATATTATTACAATTGTATAGAAATATAGTGTAAGTATTTGTGTATAAAATGAAAAGTTTAAACTCAATTCCCTTTGATTTTATGTCACAATTTCAATGGCGTCCCCAAAAAGTCCGCAACATGAGAGGGAATCTCACAACTGACAAGAACATCATTCCCAGTTAGAACATACTTTTTCGGGACATCCGTCTCAAAATAAGAAAGAACAGCTGAAAAAGTTGAATGAATTTAAAACCTTGAATTTAGAAAAAGAAAAAAAATTTACCTAAACCCACGTATGTTTTAAACTACTGAAGATTGGGAGGGGACGGGAAGGGAGTGGATGGGGGTCTGGGGCAATGAATTTTAGTAACTATTTAATTTTTAAGATATTTTCCTTGGAGACACAATAAAATTATTGAAAGGTTTATTAACCATGAAATAATTTCCGCCATTTTCTAATTTAACGCTAATTATTTTAATTCTTAGGTTCCCAGGCTTTTATAAAGGTGCAGGCAGGCGCACAATTAAACTGGGGAGAGGGGGGGGGGTCCTGTTGGTTATACAGAGGTAGACATGAGACTTGAAATGCGGGAGGGTTCGCTTAAGGATTGAAATGAGAGGTTTTGGTTTTGTTGTTTGTTTAGGACGAATTGGTTTGGAACAAGATACAAGAACTCCCATTTTTGACCTGACGGTTGGGCTGTAAGGGCTATCAGAGAATTACTCAATTAAAAGTGAGGTATATGGGAGTATGGGAGTTTAATGGGAGGTATATGGGAGTATGGGAGTCTAAAGGGAGGTATATGGGAGTATGGGAGTCTAAAGGGAGGTATATGGGAGTATGGGAGTCTAAAGGGAGGTATATGGGAGTATGGGAGTCTAAAGTAAATCTAAAGAAAGAATAATTCAAAATACAACACAACAATTTAGTATTGCAGGGTTGGGAGAGAAGGATGGAATCTGGAGAAAATTCACAAGGACGGAAAGGAACGTAATTGTATGAAATGAAATTTAACACGGTAACATCTGAGATTTCCAATTCCAGGTTCAAGAAACAAAATTGGATTTCTTTAGTTCTTAGAATATCTGCATATTCTCTAGAAGTAGTTGTTAACAAGAACTGGGAGCATGGGAATGTCGTCTTTATCTTCAAAGACGTGAAAGAAATTTCATTTTTTTTAAAGCATGCGGCACATAAATGGCAAAAAATACTAAAGAAAAAGTAAAATAAATCCACCTCAAGTCTGATACACCTAGATCTATTAAAGTTAAGAAAGATTAAGTACAGGACCTTAAAAAAATCATGTGAAGAACAAAATTAATAAATAAATCATCTGATTAATCAATAAATCAATCAACAAATAGATTATAATTTTATTCATAACAAAAATAGAAAATTGATAACAGACGAGCAGCAGTAATACATTTCTTTTACAAAATATTCCCCCACCAAATTATAAACCCCCCCCCCTGTCACTGCAATTAAGATTGTGCCAGAAAGGGTATACCTGACTAGATACTAACAGTACTTCATTCATATATCGTGTCTTAAGCTTACATAAACATAATTTCTCAACCAGATACAACTCCCCCCC